TTTTTTTTTGGTGGTACTGAGGTTTGAACTTAGGGCTCCAACTTTGCTAAACAAAAGAACTCTACCACTTGAGCCACTCCACCAGCCGCTAATACTTGCTTTGTGCCCTAAAACATGATTTATTTTGAAGAAAGTTCCCTAGACTGCTGAGAATGTGTATTGTATGCCTGCTGGATGAAATACTCTGTATGTATCTGTTAAGACCATTTGGTCATAGTATCATTTAATTCCAAGTTTCCTTTGTTGATTTTTTTTTTTTGTCTGAAAGATCTATCTATTGACAAGTGTGGAGTACTGAAATCTCTCACTATCATCGTGTTGGGGCCTATCTGTGCTTTTATGAGCCATAGTGTTTGTTTAATGACATTTGGCATACACAAATGTTAACTATTGTTATTTCTTTTGTTGGATTGCTCCCTTTATTTTAATATGAAATTATCTTTGTCTATTCTTAATAACTTTAGTTTGATGTCTACCTTATCAGATATGAGCATAACTACTCCTGCATGCTTTTGGAATCCATTTGCTTGGAAGATCTTTTTCCACTCTTTCACCCTAAAACAATCTTTTTGTCAGTGACATGTGTTTGTTATATACAATGAATGGTTGGGTCTTGTGCATCAAGTTGGTAGAGTGCCTGCTTTGTGAGCACAAAGTCCTGAGTTCAAACTCCAGTCCTACCATTCACTCAATCAATAAATAAATGTTTGAGTTTTGCTTTTTAATCTTTTCACCATTCTGTCTTTTGACTGGAGAATTGAAGCCATTAACATTCAGTGTTAGTATTGAGAGTTTTGTATTAATTTCTGCTATTTTATTTGTTTCTTAGTTTTTGATTCTTTCCTACTCTTCATTTGCTTATCTGTTCATTTGATGAGATTTATTTTTACCCACATTTTCATGGTTATGTTTATCTTTGTCTGTGTTAAGATTCCTTTGAGTATCTTGTGCATGGCTTATTTAGTGGTCACAAATTGGTTTAGTTTTTGTTTATCATGGAAGGTTTTTATTTCTCCAGTTATGAATGATAGCAGCTTTGATGAGTAGAGTAATTTAGGTTGGCAGTTATTTTCTTTAAGCACTTAAAATACATAATTCCATGCCTTCCTTGCTTCTAAGGTTTGTGTTGGAAATCTTCTGTTCTGATAGATTTGCCTTTATAGGTGATTTGGCACTTCTCCCTTGCAGCTTTCAATATTCTTTCCTTGTTCTCTGTACTTAAATGTTTTATCAGTAGTGTGCTGTGGAGAGGTGCTATTCTGGTCTTGTCTATTTGGAGGTCTCTTGTACCTGGATTAGTCATCACTTTCTCAAAGTTTAGGAATTTTCTGCTATTACTTTATTAAATATGTTTCCTGTTTCTTTAGCTTGCACCTCTTCTCCTTCTTCAATGCCCGTAATTCATAGGTTTGGTCTCTATGGAGTCTCAGTTTTGCATATTTCATTCTTATTTCTTCATTCTTGACTTTTCTATTATATCTCCTTTGTCTTCAGGCCCTTGTATTGTGTCTTCCATTTGATTCAATCTGCTGGAGAGGCTTTAGTTTAATTTTTTTAATTTGACTTAAGTAGTTTTTCATTTCCATAGCTTTCTAATCATCATTCTTTTGAGTTCAGAATTTGAGATTTTATCTGCTTCGGTTTCATTCACATCTTTTCTTGTGTGATTGTTGACTTTTTTTTTTTTTGTAGTATTGAGGTTTGCACTCAGGGCCTCACACTTGCCAGGTAGGTACTCTACCACTTGAGCTACTCCACCAGTCCTTTTTTGTGTTGGCTTTTTTGAGATGGGGCCTTGTGAACTATTTGCCTATGCTTGGCTTGAACTGTGATCTTCCTGATCTCTGCCTCCTGAGTAGCTAGGATTAAAGGCATAATTGCCTCATCTGACAATTATTGACTTTTGAGGTGTCATGTTGCCTTGCTTTTCCATTTATTTCTATGTTAAGATTTGCTCATCTGAAGTCAATTTGTTGGTTGGAGGTTTTAGTTACCCAAAGTGTTTCCACTGAATTATTCTCTTGGTTCTGGCAGGACTGAGTAGTTTCGGGTTAATGTGCCATTTCTCACCACTGGCCTAGAAGAATAACTCAGAAATAACAAATTTATCAAATCAATACAAAACCAGATATTTACATGAAGTAAAATACCATTGGCAACATTATCTATATGCCAATCATGTTATATATCAAGGGGACTATCATTGTTACATGGTACAGTAGGGGATTAGAAAAATAAAGCTTATTTATATAGGAATTAAAAATTAGATAGTAAAAATAAGGAGGCTAAGGGAAGAAATAAGGAAGAAGAAAAATGGGAAGAAGGGAAGTGAAGGGTAAGAGATTTAGGTAAACACAATACTAGTGTACAGGAATATAGTTCAATTATTGTAGAAAAAGGTACCACTATCATCAAGGATTGCAAAGGGATAGAGAGGTTAAGAATAATAAAAGAAAGAGGTAAAATAAACCACTAATAGAATAGTTTTTAAACAAGAAATAGGAAAAGTGAAGAGAAAAGGAGGAAAAATGACAATATATAAAAGAGATAAGTGAATTAAATTTTTTAAATAAGTTAGTATTTCTTCTTTATTGAAGAGGGTATGTCTGCTGGGCTCTATCAGTACAATGCATGCTCTTCTCCAATCTCCGGTTCTTAGCTTTCTGTCTGTAGTTCTTCTGTTGTGTTTACTCACATATTTCCTCATGGCTCTGGATTGACCAGGTGTAACCTGGAGCATTGTTCCATGGCTGATTAAGGTGCTGGATCAGAGGTAGCTGCTGGGGTGAGGTGAGGAAGGTCCTATGGAATATTAGTAATTCCCACAAGTTGGTCTGTTCTGCCAGGGTTCAGTGGGGTGGTTCCAGACATGTGAGGTAGCAGTTGGGGTTGGGTGGTGGGGTCCCAAAACACAGCTAGAGAGTCAGAAAGCACTCTACCACTCTCAAAGCCCATACTATTCCCTGCTCAGGGAGTCCAGTGGCTGCTCTGTATTATCTATGGCTAGCTTCTTTTCCCTTTCTACCTAAGCCTGCAGTTTAATGTTTCATTTGGAGTATGAGGGGTGAAAGCCCCAGTCACTTGTGTATATCCATATACTGCTGCGTTGAGCAATAGGTTTGGGGTTCTAGCCAGATGGCTTGCTCATGTCTACACTTCTTTTTTGTTTTGGGGTTAAGAACCAGGCACCAAGTGGCTTTACCCACCAGTCCTGGGCCACATGCAGGGAGGGGCCTTTAATCAGCCTTCTTAGCAAAAAGTTTTCTTGGGATTCAGATGTATTTGTGTCCCACATTGGGCTTGGCTAGACCCCAATGGGTCTGTCTGTGGCAGACCCCAGGGTTAACACTGGTATAGGAAAGTTGACACGGTTTCACCCATTTTTTGATCTGGGACCAGAGGCATGGTCTTTAATCAGCCCACTTAGCCTAAAATTTTCTCCAGCGGGCAGAAGTATTTGCATCTACATGCTGCACTAACCTGTGTAGTGGCCCTTAGGACTGAAACTGGCCATCCTTCCCCCACACCCCTATTTCTCCCCCACACTTCAGTGCCAGCCTTTTTGCCCTGGGCAACACAGGCTTTCTGACCTGTGCTAGGCTTCTGTGCAGTTGTTTTGTTCACAGGGTTCTCACCAGAAGCAAAACAAAACAGGGAAATAAATAAATAAATAGGGCTGGAATGGTCACAAGGAGTAGATCCAGATGGCCATTCTGGGCTTGTTTTTTTTTTTTTTTTCCCTCTAGCCACTATCTGCCCTTTTACTGGTACCAGTCCCTGGCTTACTAACTTGCCCACCTCTCCTTATAGCCTGAGGTTTTATTTCTAGTCTGTGATGACATGGAAAAGGGTGCCTGTCAGCAGTCTTTCATATTGGTTCTCTAAAGGATTTTTTGCATAAAAAATTGGGGGGGCATAGCTCAAGAGGTAGAGCATTTGCCTAGCATGTGTCAGGCCTTGGGTTCAATCCCTTGTACAAGAAAGTGAGAGAATGGGAGCACAAAAGAGAGATAGGAAGAAAGAAAGAGAAAGGAAGGAAGGAAAGCAAACAAAGAATCTGGCTTTTCTCATAGAGGTAGTCTTCTCCGGAACAGTGTTCTTGGAATACCTGTGCCTTGTGTATCTGGCAAAGTGGCAAGGCATGTCATGGCCTACAGGTGACAGACTGCATTCAAAGATGAAATGAACAGTTTCTAGATGTGCCTTCTCTTTCCCAACTCTTTGGGTGCTTGACAGAATTTTTCAAGGTGGCTAGTTCATATTTCCAAAATACTTAAAGCAATAGGTACTTTCTCTTTTGTCATGGAGGAAGGACTTAAGGGGAAGTAGAGGTACCAAAAAGAGGAGAGAAGAGATACAGTATTATTAGAGATCTAGTATAATCTAGAATCTGCACATACTGCCAGTCTGCCTTTTATGGGAAGAAGGGATTTGAAGGGTCAAAGGTAACCCAATTATAACATAAATAAATAAAATTGGCATAGTCATATAATACATTTTAACTGTTAAAAAATGAGCCATGTCGTCTATAACTGCTCACTATGATATATTATTAAGTGGAAAATGCAAAGTGCAGAAATTTATGTGTCTATCATGTAACTTAAATGTTTATGTTATATGGGATTTTATTAGTTGATATTTTCTAGAAACAAATACAAAAAACTTACAGTGTCTGCTTTTGGAGAACAAAACAAAAGGCTGGGGACAGAGAAGAGTTTAATTTTTTCTTTTACACATCAATCATTCAAAATATTTATGTGCATGTATTTCTGCATATTCTTTTATATGCAGAGTTTTGGAAACTCTTACAGTCTGCAGTCAAGAGAAATGGGCCCCATTCTTGACTGAAGAAAGGCTGCATCACTAACCAGTTTGGACTTCCTGAGCCTTGTCTTCAATTCATCTCAGCCTTTGTTTGTTTGGTTTTGTTTTGTGTTTCTTGGTTGTCAAAGCTTTGGAGAAATTCTCAGGGCAGAAATTCAAAGATTATTTTCTTATAGGTTAGAGGAAGACAAATGGATGAATGTCCAAGTGGGAGATATAATAAAACTAAAAAATGATCAGCCAGTTACGGTGAGTGACTTTTCTAGCTGTGGCTTTCTCTATTTTTGTCTTGAGTGGGAATCAGGGTCGCCTACAGCACTTTTGCCTCCACTGTACTTGGTAACTCTCATCTGCCTCACTTTATGTTGGAGATCAAAAACTGCTTAGATAAGAAGACAGTTCTTGTCCGTCTCTCACTATAGCTACACACAAAGTGTGAGTAGCTTTGGGAAAGAGTGTGTGGTAGTAGTGATAGGTCCCAGACAAAGAAACTAAACTGAGTGTCTGTAAATTCTTAGGGACTGATTTTGTCACACTGTAATGTTAAGAGCTCACCTGCTTTCCTCGTCTTCTCTGACTTTTCTAATTACAGGCAGACTTACTATTACTCTCTAGCAGTGAGCCGTTCAGTCTGACGTACATTGAAACAGCAGACTTGGATGGGTAAGTGTTCCCTCTTGATATTCTATTAAGACAATTTATCCATCTTAGTGTGATCTCTCACTGAGGGAAAGCATGATTCAGGGAATTATCTTTATTCTCAGATGGAGGTGGTAGTACATGAACCAGAGAACCTAGAAATATCCAAATGAGAAAAGACAGGAGGCCACATCTAGTGCTGAGCTCTTGGTGGCAATAATTGAACATTCTGTATGGGCAATAATTTACCCATACAGAATATGGGTAAATAAACTCCATAGTCTCCATCTCTAAAGTGGGGACATTTTGTTCAGTCAGCCTTCAATATCTGTGGGCTCCATACCTGTGGCTTCAAGTCCTGAAGACTGAAAATGTTTGAAAAAGTTTGTGTCTGTTCTGAACATGTACAGACTCTTTTCTTGTCATTATTAACTAAAACATAAAATATAACAAGTACTTATATTAAGAATTGCACATAATCTAGAAATTATTTAAAGTATGCAGGAGGGTGTGCATTGGTTATATGCAAATACTATGCCATTTTATATAAAGAACTGTGCATCTGTGGATATGGATCCTGAAACCAGTCCTCTGAAGATACTGAGGGACAGCTGTATTCCATATTGCTGAATAGCAGAAAAGAGTCTATCAGAATTGTAAAATTTGCCAGGCACCAGTGGCTCACACCTATAATCCTAGCTACTTAGAAGGCAGAGATCAAGAAGATCACAGTTCAAGGCCAGCACAGGAAAATAGTTCCTGAGACCCTGTCTCAGGGTGGCTCAAGTAGTAGAGTGCCTGTCTAGCAAGTGTGAGGCTCTGAGTTCAAACACCAGTACCAACAAAAAAAAAAAAAAAAAAAAGAAGGAGAGAAATGTAACATTTCAGAACAGAGTTCTAAGTTTTCCAGGGAAAAGATTGAATATGGAGGTAATTATCTACTGATAAAATGCATGCTATATAAAGGATTTAGGTGGAAATTCACTAACATGCAAAAACTAAGGTCTTAGGAGAATGGAAGCCATCTTCAGAGAGCTTGTCTTAGAAGTTTTGTATCAATCTACATTTTTGCAACCTCTATTTTTGCTGGTTTCTATTTTTGTTTTTGTCTCGGGGTATTCATGTATTAGCATATGGTTCATTAGGATCCCTTCATGGGTCCTATAAATATTATGAGGTCAAGATTATGTTTCCTCAAAGGTTTGTGCATGTTTTTACCAGTACCTGCTCCTTATTCTTAAAGGGATCAGGTATCACCTCCAGATTGCTTTGTGATGTCTCTTCAGCCTCTCTAGAGCATCTGACCAGCTAGATCTCCTGGTTTGGTTAAAGTAGTTGTGGTGTGTTGTAGGGTGTGATGGAGAAAGAGGAAGGAGTGAGTGAGCCAACTCTCAGCTTCCTTGCAGAGTTATCTCATTTCAATACTGCCCATGAGAGCAGAAAACAGTGTGAGGGACTCTCAGAGCTTTAACTCAAGCTCTAATGGTAATACCTATTTTCTAAAACCCCATGAAGTATGTGAAACTAGTCCTGTGCTACTGTTAATGTATATGTCTTATACTCTGGTGATCTTGTGTCCTTTATTCCAGTGAAACCAACTTGAAAGTGAAGCAGGCTATCTCAATTACCAGTGAAATGGAAGATAATCTGAAACTGCTCTCTGCCTTTGATGGTAATTTAGGAAATAGGATTGCCCACCAAAACTTTCATCAGTAGAAGACTGCTAAATAAAGTACAGTATATCCAGACAGGAAATTGTACACAACTCATTAGACAGTATGCAGGCTGATGTATACTGGCATGAAAATCATACACAACATATTAATAGGAGAATAATACAGATTACAGAAGACTGCATAGTATATGTAACACAAACCTGTTTTGGAAAGATGTATGTTTGAGTACATATATAGAAAAAATACTTGAGAGGATAAACCTCAAAAGGTTAATGGCACTTTTCTCTAGACAGTAAATAGATTTTACTTTTTCTGTCATTTTAGAATACCATATTTACAAAGGCCATACTTACTAATCAGGAAAAATCAAGTATTTCCATTTGGAAAAAATGCTAGATTTGCTTTAAGTTGAGTAGTTGTTTTAGTTTCTTTAACTTCAGAAATCAACTGATATGTCAATCCTGAGCATGATAGTTATCATATAGGTTTATCTCTTTCTGGATAATGCCTGTTACTTACAGAATTACTATTCTTTGATGCCCAGAAATCTTTGTCTGCATTTCTGAAGGAGGCTGGTGAGAAATGGGAAGCAGCTGCAAGAGAATAAGATAAAAAGTGTGTGTAGGGAGAAAACCCTGCTCTGCTTTTCTGTTGTGCTTCCTTCTGTCCTTTTAGGAAAACCTGACGTTACAGAGCCAGGACCTTTACCCCTTTATTTTTCTGCAGGAGAAGTGAGATGTGATCTTCCCAATAACAAGTTGGACAAATTCTCAGGAACACTAACCTATAAGGGGAAAAGGTACTTTCTGGACCATGACAAGCTGCTGCTCCGAGGCTGCATCATCAGGAATACAGATTGGTGCTATGGCTTGGTGATTTATACTGGTACGTTTCCCTGTAGTGACAGCCAGAATCTCCACCTGTTTGTGGCTATTCTTGGCTAACTTGTAGGTAATTAGTTTTATATACTCAGGTATATATCGGAATACTATGGCTTAGAGATAGATATGGAGGTAGATGGATGACTGTATGAGAGATTCAAGAAAAAACGTATTTCATAGAAAACAGTGACTCTTTCTCAGGCAACACATCAGCTCCGTATTTATAAAAGAAAGATTTTGTGTTCCAACACCACAGAACACTCATAAGGCTTTTCAAACATATCTGGACACAGGAAAGGAAATAAATATAGAGAAAGTATAAGAAAATTAGCCTGTGAAAGGGGAGAATTCCCAGGAGGATAGAATATGATCATTACAGAAATTAATACAGAATATGATGTAGAGAGTTCATATCAGAAAGAAGATACCACATTAATAGTGGCCCCTCTTGAGATGTTATTTAGATCCACAATCCATAATACTGAACAAAAGATTTTCTTGGGTTATGATATGTTTCAGGAAAATAGAGTTCCTCTGTGCTATTCCATGAACTTGGTGACAATGAGCATTTACAATACTGTTAGACCTTTCTGTCTCTGTGACAAAACTCCTGAGATAAACAACTTAAAAGGAGCAAAGATTTATTTTGGCTCATGGTTTTAGAAGTTTCAGTCAAGGATCGCTTGGCCCTGTCACTTTAGGATGTGGCAAAGCTGAGCATAACAGCAGAAAGCATGTGGTAGAGCAAAGCTGCTTACATCATGGTGGCAGGGAAGCAAAAGAGGGAGAGGAAAGGTCTGGGGTTCCAATATCCCCTCCAAGGGCATGCCCCCAATGACCTCACTTCCTTCAACTGTGCCCCCTCATCTCCTAAAGTGTCCAATAGTGTAATCATCTGGGACCAAGCCTTCAACAATGAGCTTTTGGGAAACATTGAAGATCCAAACCAAAACACAACCACCATAATAGGGAGCATTAAGAAAGATCTCCCAGGGCTGGCACAGTGGTTCAAGCAGTATAGTGCTTGCCTAGCAAGCATGAGGCCCTGAGTTCAAACCCCAGTACTGCCAAAAAAAAAAAAAAAAAAGATTTCCCAAAGAATACACTTGCTAAACTCAGATTCCCAGAGCTGCTCTTCTAGAGAATCTACTCCTACACATCAGTCACTTAATCTCCTTACTTCTGTTGAAAATAAGGGAGACTCATGCCCTAGGTGGAAGCTTAAGAATTCAGGAAGGCCCTGATGGAACTTCCTTCATTGGTTCATAAACTGGAAGTTGCAACTTCTAAGCTGCCTAGTTCCTAAACTCAAAATATGTAAAATAGACTTATTTTATTCACTGTATTTCAGCATCTACCTCCACATAGTTACCACCCATAAAAAAGTACATTTTTCAGCCTAAGGGTTTTTTCCCAAAGCAATTATCAGTGAGGTTACCAACCAGGGCAACTTAGTCAAGGTTTCCCTGTTACTCTTGGTTGGTTTCATGGTGGTGAGCTGTGTGTAGGGAAGCTACACACAGTGGAGAACTGATCTTTCCAAGAGCATCCTGAGGTTCTCACTATAGACTTGAGTTGCTGTTCTTGCTTCACGGTGCTCAAGTTCTACCATGATCTCCACCTTCTTGAAATCTTGGTAGAATAGGGTCAGTCTTTTTAAAGACCCTGGAAGATATGGTCCCTGTAGCTTCTGGGCTCAGCATCAAACTTCTCATGATTTCACGTCCTTCCAGGAATGCTTCAGAGGAAAGAATGTTATGTTGTGCATTCACAGTGTTTGCCCATATATGAGGGAAATTCCAGTCCCTCCATGTGTAAACATTCATGAAACTCCTTCATTATAGCACATGTAACTATAACAGTCAGATGATAAAACTCTAGGGAAATTGATGCTTAAAATTTCTTCTTATGTCTTCTCTACAGCCATATCTTTAGTTAGTAATTTGCAACTCTATCCCAATGGCCATTAAGGCTTCCTTAGTTCTAGTTACTATCTGACCTGTCATCTCTGTCTCTCAGCCCCAGAGCAGGCTCAGCTCCCAAGCTTCCACTCAGGATAAATCACTGCAATTGCCTCTTCCTCTCCTCCATTCCCAGCTGGAAAGTTTAAATATAGCCTAGCCCAGCAGTAAGTTTCCTCAAAAGAAAGCAGAGATCTCTTTATAAAAATGATTCCTTCTTTAATCTAAATAAATAGATGGTGACAAGAGAGGAACTGTGAATTCTATTCTGACTTCACTCATCCAGGAAAGTAGAGGCTGTCTGAGGTGCTGCAAAGAGAAGAGTCAGCGTGAGTGCACTTTAGTAAGGATAGTTAGGCTTATCCTTAGAAACAAATGTTCCCCTCTGAGTTGTCTTTATCCCCTGGAATTGCATAAGAGGTTAGAATAAGTGGTCATAGAGGTGCACTTCAACCCAATTTAAGCCTCTGAGTATATTCAGTGATTCTAACATCTGGTGTCTCTCTGTTTTACTTAGGTCCAGACACCAAATTAATGCAGAATAGTGGAAAGTCCACCTTTAAACGGACACAGATCGATCATCTCATGAATGTCCTTGTGCTCTGGGTAAGTTAAATACTTTTTTCCCTTTGTTCTTGTTTTTTGTAAAGAGACATATTTCCACTGGAATGGCTGATATTTCCAACTTGGAATTTAGTTATTTGAAAATCTCAAGAAGTTTTAGAACCCCACAGACTAATGTCTGAAACAAGAAGAACAAAACCACTTTACAAGGGAGTCTAGGTTTTGCCTCCTAAGGAGGATAACCTAGGTGGAGGATAGTGACAATTTGTTTAACAAGATATTCTGCTTTAGTTAGTGGTACCAGAAAGGATCAAGGACCCTACTTTAGAAATTAAGACATATTTTTATATTCTCATAATCAGTTTTGCTCATGATCACTTTATAAAACCTAGACTAATGGAATACCTTATTAAAACTGATGCTTTTCAAACTCTGTTTCCTTAAAGGGGTTTTACAGTCTGATACAGATGGAATAAGAGAGATCAGTTGGGTTTTGTTCTAGCCTCATCTGAAGTTCCTGCTTCAAAAAGAGTAGCTTAACACTTACCTGTTTTATAAGACTTCAGTTAGAAAAATAGGAGGTTCTTCTGCTAAGAAAAGAAAATTGAAAAGCACTACAATATGTAATTATTAACTTTGATAATGGAAATTTAAAATGAAGACTATTGATAAATTATATCCATGTCATCCAATTTAGATTGACTTGTTCCTGTTGGATAGAGGTAGATTAATCTCTTTACTTAAACAGCTTTTTTGCATAACTGAGGAGTTCCAATGATACCTACACATAATTCCATGATTTTTAATTTTGATTTTGTTTCTGTACTCTGAATTTTTTAAAATGTGTTTTCTTTCTATATATTTCTCATAAATATTTGAATTATAAATTGTCATTTTTCCTTTTTTATTATAAGAAACATCACAGTTGCCAGGTGCCAGTGGCTCACTCCTGTAATCCTAGCTACCCAGAAAACAGAGATCAGGAGAATCTCAATTTGGAGACAACCCAGGCAAATAGTTTGAGAGACCCTATCTTGAAAAATACCCAATCAAAAAAGGGTTGATGGAGTGACTGAAGTGGTAGAGCTCCTGCCTAGCACACATGAGGCCCTGAGTTCAAAGCTGAAAAAAAAAAGACATCAGAGTTCCTTTTCAAAAGGAACTTAATTATTTAAACTTAATTATATAAAGTTTTAGAAAATTAGCAAGGTTTATTGCACTTTGAGACCAGTAAGTATCTACTATCTTTCTTTTTCTGCTACTGAGTGCATACCATCCAGCATTTGAACAAAGTTCCATTTCCTAGTTTCTTAATGAGAAAGACAATCACAGTCAAGAATTCAGGAGTGACATATGCATATATGCTTTCAGCAATACTAGGAATATGTAACATTAGCTACTAAACTAGTTCAGTTGGCCTATGCTTGTCTGCTCTTTTTTTTTTGGCAATACTGGAGTTTGAACTCAGGGCCTCATACCTACTAGGCAGGCACTCTACTACTTGAGCCACTCTGCCAGCCCCTAGGCTTGTCTTCAAAACAGGATGTGTCCTGTGTTCCCAGAAAGGTTTGGCTATCTGTGTACCTGTCAGAAGTGTAGTGACAGTGCTTTGCAGCTGTAGAGGGATTTTAACCTTTAGAATAATTTCACATAATTAATTACAGCCTTACTACATGCATAAGTAGTAAGCAAGTCAAGAAGTACTTGTGTCTTTTGAGAAGTATATAAACTGAGCCAGAGTAAAGATAAGTGTCATAAAGTCTCACAGAAAAATAATGACTAAGAAAGGTATATGAGTTACTAAGTCGTACTTACTGAGAATCCATTATGTGCCCAGCATATGGGACATATTGCAAGGATCATAAGATATGTGGCTCTGGCCAGCCTGTTTTGGGGAAAAGGCATCAGTATCAATATGTGCCAGTTGCTTTACATGCACTATTTATTCAACAGTCACATCTGTCCATTAATCATAACTTTATAGCAAAGTGCTTTCTGTTATATTTGCTGTCTCCCTAGGGAGACAAATTAAACACATGACAAGTCCTGTTTAACCTAGCAGATTGACCAGTGAAGAAATTAAAGAAATCCTAAAACCTTTCAGAAAGAGAAAAAGAGATCATATACCAGGAACAGGAATCAGATTCATGCCCATCTCAATAGCAATAAGCAGAAGATATATATTAATGCCTACTAAAATATTCCAGGAAATTACTTACAGCCTCTAATTCTAAATCCAGTGAGACTCAATAAAATTGAAGTGCAAAGAAATACCTATATGTTCAAAGTCAAAACATGTACTCAACATGCATCCCTTCTTAGGAAACTTCAAGAATATATACTCTCATATGGATGCACAAAAAACCCAAGTAGCTTAAACAAACCTGAGCAAAGAGAGTAGTGGTAGAGATATCACAATACCTGATTTCAAATTATACTACAGTGCCATGGTAATAAAAACAGTATGATATTGGCATTAAAGCAGACATGCTTACCAGTGGAGCAGCGTAGAGGACCAAAAAATAAACCTAAACATCTACAGCCATCTGATTCTCAATAAAGTCCCAAAAACAGACATTGGAGAAAAGATAACCTCTAGCAAATGGTGCTGGGAAAAGTATGTATTCACATGTAGAAGATTGAAACTAGACCCCTGTCTCTCACTCTGCACAAAATCCAACTCAAAATGGATAAAAGACCTTCCCAATACTGGGATTATAGGCATGTACCACCACCCTGATCTAAGAATTTGCAATGGAATTGCATCAAATTAAAAACCTTTTGCACTGAAGGGAAAACAATCAACAAAGTAAAGAGACAGCCTACAAAATGGGAGAAAATTTTTACCAGCTATTCCTCCACCTGTTAATATCCAGAATATATAAAGAACTCAAAAAAATGAACCACAAAGGAACAAGTAATTCAGTTAACAAAAGGGAAAAATTAACTGGATAAATACTTTTCAAAAGTGCAAATGACCAATAAATACAGAAAAAAATGTTCAACATGCTTAGCAGGAAAATGGAAATCAAAGTACCTTGACATTCTACCTCACCCTAGTGAGGCTGGCTGTCTTCAAATAAACAAACAACAAATACTGACAAGTATGTGGGGCAGTAGGGGAGAACCTTTGTACACTGTTACTGAGAATGTAAATTAGTGTAGCCACTATGGAAATCAGCATGGAGTTTCCTTAAAAAACTAAAAATAGAACTACCATATGCTCCAGCTCTACCACACCTGGATAGGAATCAAAGTCAGCATGCAATAGAGATACCTGCACAGTTCACAATAGCCAAGTTGTAGAATCAGCAGAGGTCACCATTAATGAAAAAACAGATTTAAAAATGTATATATACACAATGGACTATTATTCAGCCATAAAGAAGAATGGAATCATTTTCAGGAAAATGGATAGAACTGGATATCATCATGTTAAGTGAAATAAGCCAGACCTAGAAAGACAGTTATCATGTTTTCTGTCATATGTGGAATCTAGAATAAAAAAGACATAAAAGAAGGAGACTGTTAGGACTAAGAAGGGAACTATAAACAGGAGTAAGAGAAGGTTGGGGGAGTAAATATGATCAAAGTAGTTTGTGTGCACATATGAAAATGTTCACAATTATACCCATATTTTCTGTAATTAATATGCACTAATAAAAACACATGAAAAAGAAGAAAGTATACTCAAGCAAAACAGGGTAAAATAAGAAATTGGCAGCTATAGAAGCAGGGAAGCAGGGAAAGAAAGCCCTAGGGTAAAGCTGACAGATGATCCAGAAAACAGCCACCCCAGATCAGAACAGAGGTAGGGAGGGCTCTGTGCAGTCATCTGCAGAAGATGTGGTTCTCTGCTCAGACTTTGACAATAGAAGTATCAGACAGGTCACCCCCACCAAGACCCACTTTATTCTGTCAACCTGTTTTATTTCCTCCACCGCACTTACTGCTAGTTAAATCATATTTTTTACTTTCTTAACTTGTTGTTCACTTTTCTCCATAAGGACCTTGTTTTCTTTTTCAACACTGTATTCCTAGTTCCAAGAACTATGCCTGATATTATTCATTATTATTTATTGAGTAAGGGGGGAAGAAAAGAATGAATACTTAAGCTACCAAATTATAAACCTCTGCAGTAGATATGATGTCACATTCATCTCTGTATTTTGGGGATGCCTTACATAAAATAGTGCTCAGGAAATACCTATTGAATGGTTATTAAATGGAAGTGTTCTTGAATTAGCTAGGTTCTTACTAACTCATCAGTTTTGTTTGTTTGGTATTTATGTCAGGACACTGTCACTTTAGTCAGATGTAATACATCCTCGTTTCTTGAAGTAAGCCAAGACCAACATCCTTCCTGATTTAGATATTCCATCTCTCCTGTTTGGGGGAATATTTCCTAAGAGGAAATCTGGTGAACACAGGAAGCATGTTCAGAAAAGCTGCTTCCTGATGAGCCCACAGCTATGCTGAGTTTGATCCCTTCACTGGTGACTGGAGCACCTAGTGACAGTATTGTCTGATCTCTGATCCATTAACTAGGGGGGGTTCATTTGTGGGGCAAAGAAGCAGAGTGCTTCAAATTGGAATAATGTTTAAAAATCCTAGGGTGAGCACAGATGTGGAGGGTGAAAGGACGGAAGAGTGCTTTCTTTTTCAGGCTGCCTATGATGCCTACGAGCTCCTTTATGAGAGAAGAGGTGTTAGTTCTAGATCAGTTTTGTCAAGATTCACCAAATTGAATATTTATTTCAGGTTATACTGGAACCGCTTTTTATTGAATGTGAGGCTATCTGCTGTTCTTGTGTTTTATTGACTTTGATAATAAATAAGTAACCTCAGGGGTTTTATAGCAAAGAACCAAAGTTCTTTCTTCCAATAAAAAGGAAGTAGAATGAAGCTTTAAAGACTCAGTATCAATAAACTCCATCACAATAATAATCTGTGGCTCAAGTGGTAGATTGCCTGCCTAGCAAGTGTAAGGTCCTGTGTTCAAACCCCAGTACCACCTAAAAAGAAAAAAATCCACCAGACACAATAATAAGAAAATGTGCAAAGACTTAGAAGGTCTTGGGGTGGCAGGAAAGAGGAAGGAACAGACTGCACCCTGTCCCTGCAGGGAGGGCTCAGACTGAAGGGGAGGTTGGTGTCTGGGGCTTGGTCTGATAAGAGGCGGTCTTCCTTTCTGGTGGCTCAGGGTAAGCAGGAAGTTCTTGTTCTGGAGGATACATCATCTAAAAAATGGAGGCAGGGCATGCCACAGAAACCATGGTAATTCTGTTTTGGCAACAGAGATGAAGCAGAGGTGCTGAAAGTTACCCTGTAATTTCTCCAACAGTTTTGGAAGGTTTCAAATTAAATATTTTGTCAGGTATGTTGGTACATGTCTATAATTCCAACACTTGGGAAACTGGGCCAGGAAGATCACTAATTCGAGGCCGACCTGGGCTATATAGTAAGTTCAAGGTGATCCTGGGTTACACAGCCAGACCCTGTCTCAAAAAACAAAATAAAAAAACCCAAACCATTTATTCTAACCATTTTATTCTCTTCATTTTTCCCCACTAAAATTGATATAGTGGAGCCTGGAAAAGTGGGCATGCAGAGGAATATGGTCTCATTTACTATTGGCTACTCAGATATTCAAAAAGGAAGGCTAGACCAGTACAACTAATCCTTGAGGCTTGATCTGAACCATGTGTAGCCTGGCTTTCACCTCACTCACTGGAGAAAAGGATGAGGACGTGGGACTAAGACTGAGAAGGAAGAGCTGTATGGCCCCAGAGACCCTTATCCCAAAGAACCAAACTAGCAGTATGAATGTGGAGTGGGCTAGGAACAAAAGCTGATTGTAGCTGGCAAGTGGCTCAAGCAGCAAGAGTGCCTACCTAGCAAGTGTGAAGCTCTGAGTTCAAACCCCAGTGCTGCCAAAAAAAAAGAAAAGAAAAAAGCTGATTGTATTATTTTTTCTCCATTCTCTTCTGTTCTGTTCTCCCCACATCCCTCACCCAACTCTCAAATTTATTGTTTTGGAAATAGAGTTTGAGTCAGGATCTTGATATGTAGCTTAGGCTGGTTTCAAACTTGCAGCAGAACTCCAGCCTCAGATCCCAAGCACCGTCACCCCTGCTCAAATCTTTTTTTTTCTAAAAACAAGTTTTTTTAAATTTAAACAACAGTTTAAATACATTATATAACATTAAAAATGGAAGGGAAGAAAACCAAAAAGCAGTTTGTTATTTCACATGGTCTTGGGTAGCTATTGCTAGTAAACTGCAAGCTCTACAGCTAGCTACATGACTGATAGCATCAGTCCGTATTTGTTCCCTTGTCAAAAGTTTAACTGGTATTAGGCTGGCCTCACATTGTTGTTTGGATATCCCTAAGCTAGGATATGTCTGGCCAAAAAGATGACTTGGTGGCAAAACAAGATGTCCTACCACTTCACTGGAGGGAAAGTGGCCTGGTCAGATTAGAGACACCAGGGACTCTACTACCAAAGGCTCCCTCTAGTGGCATAGCTGCTGTTGCCGCCTTACCCCATGCTCTCTTCATTATTGTAGGTTATTCAAGTGGTGACATTCTCTTAGGGCAGGAGACTCCACAGAGGGAGCGCCAAGGAATTTCTGACCAGACATAGCCTTCTGTGCACTTGGGGCTCTAGGCTTGGCTGAAACATTATCATTATTGCTTTGTTTCAGGCTAGACACTGCCAGGCACCTACTGCTTGCCCTTTGTTTAAATGAGGGACTTCAACACCTAAAAAGTTAGCTAGCATTTGTTGTCCTTAACACAGAGAAACTAAAGCAGATACCTTAAAAGCAACTGAGGCCAATAGGAATAGGGGACCAGGAACTAGAGAAAAGGTTAGATCAAAAAGAATTAACCTAGAAGGTAACACACACGCACAGGAAATCAATGTGAGTCAATGCCCTGTATAGCTATCCTTATCTCAACCAGCAACAACACTTGTTCCTTCCTGTTATTGCTTATACTCTCTCTTATTAGAGATAAGGGCAAAATAGTTTCTGCTTGGTATTGAGGGGGTGAGAGAGAGAGGGAGAGAGCGGAGTGGGTGGTAAGGGAGGGGGTGGGGGCAGGGGGGAGAAATGACCCAAGCCTTGTATGCACATATGAATAATAAAACAATAAAAAAAAATAAATGAGGGACTTCAAGACTAGACAGCATGGCTCTTTTCAGTTTAGTGCATGAAGGAGTTACACTAATCCAAGTTAAAAATGGACCCCAGGTGGTTACATTATACAAGCTGTGAGGTTTTTATTTATTTTTTTTAATTTTTTTTTAAAATATGGAACGCTTCACGAATTTGTGTGTCATCCTTGCACAGGGGCCATGCTAATCTTCTCTGCATCGTTCCAATTGTAGTATATGTGCTGCCGAAGTGAGCACTGCTGTGAGGTTTTTAAACTTATGACAAGGGACAGAAGGGAAATTCTACTCATTGCAGGGAAATCTTCACTTAAGCTTCAGAGAGCCACAAGCACTTAAAACCCATGAACCTTCAGCTGACCATCCTTAGCCAGTCCAATCTCTGCCATGAACTGGCATATGTTCTTGTGCTGGTCACCCTGTAGCTGAATTACTTCTCCATATTCTGAATGCTCAATTACAGTACCATTGCAGGCAAACTTCTTAAAAATCTTCACTAGTTCATTTTTATCGTAATTATCAGTGATCTCTTAGACAGTAGTAAGGATCTTCCTGCCATCTCTCTGTTGAATTCTTATATGGATATAATCCTCAGTGCCAGCAGGAAGCAGGTCATCATCCTTACTTGCATCAGCAAATGGGGTCGAAAGAGTGGAGGTTCCTCAGTAGAAATGGCCACAGGAGAATGTGGGGGATGGGGAGCAAAGGGGCTTGTTGCGGGAGGCAGCTGAGTTGTCAGCAGCAGTTCAGTGACTGGGTCAAATCTATTTTTTATATTAAGCATTTATTGTTAATTTTTAAGTGATAAAGGTTTTATTCATTATGTTTTTATATAAGATCTTTTTAGAGTGGTATGCTTACAGATGAAATTATGTAATTGAGATATTTGCTTAAAACAAGAGCGAAGAAAAGGAAAAAAGAAGAAATTTGAGTGTTGTAAGATTGGCCATTAGTTGATAATTGTCAAAGCTAGGTGATGGGTAGGCACATGGGGGTTCATTGTACTTTTTATATACTTTAATGTGTATTTGAAATTTTTCACAACAAAAAGTACCTTTTTTAAATCTCAGTTTCTATGCATTGCAGTGGTACTTGCCTATAGTCCTAGGTACTCAGGAAACTGAGGCAGGAGGATCACAAACAGGCTTGAGGCCACCTTGGGAACATTAGCGACACAGTCTTGAAAAAGAAAAAAAAAATCTCAGTTTCTAAAAATAGTCCTAGTCAGACATGTTCCTCCTGCCTTACTGCTTTTATCTTCAAAAACTTCCCTTGCATGGCACAAAGAAGAGACCTTTGATCATCTAGCAGAGGGGATGGGTTGCTTTGAGCTAGCCACACTTTGTGACAAGGTCATATATTGAAGACTATTGGGTAGACTTCGAGGTGACTCACAACAACATCATTCACATCTTCTGTAGGGGCATATGAGCATATAATGCTGGTGGGAAGATAAAATGGAACAAATATTGGAAAACAGCTAGGGATGTAGCTCAATGGAAGAGGGCTTTGCCTAGCATGCATGAGGCCTTGGATTTGATTCCCAGCACTGCCAAAAACAAAAAAACACTGGAAAACATTTAGCAACTTCTTAAAAAGTTAACATAACTTACTGTAGGCTCCAGAAGGTAGAACTGAAGTAGCACATACGTTAGATGAAATGTTCATTTAATTCAATTTTTGTTTGTTTTTTTTTATATAGATTTTCCTGTTTTTAGTTGCCATGTGCGCTTTCCTAGCAATTGGGCAAGGCATTTGGGAGAACCAGAAAGGCTACCACTTCCAGGTTTTTTTGCCATGGGAAGATTATGTCTCTTCATCAGTTGTGTCTGCCATCCTCACTTTCTGGTCCTACTTCATTGTTCTCAACACCATGGTACCCATTTCCCTCTATGTCAGGTAGGCTTCTTTGATCATTTTGGGTTATGGAAGAAAGGGCTAACTTCATACTTCCTGCTTCATTCCCCAGCCAGACTTTTAGAAAACATACACTATGTACTCCTTAACTCTTTACTTTTCTACAGGCTTGGTGTACAAAACACTCTGAGAAGTATCTAAAGATTGCATAAATGCTTCCCATGTCCAGAATACTGTGCTAGATACTATGTGGTTTATGCAAAAGAAAATTATCTCTTCCCTCAAATAACCTGTAAGTGACTAAGATATATAGACAAAACAATTAGAAAAAACACATGCAAATTTGGAGATGCTAAAGCCAGGTCAGGCAGCCTCTACTTGCCAATAAGCTAGATAGCTTCTAAACATTCATTCACATGTCCATTAGTCAGAATGCACTTTCCTAGGCTGGTAGAGTGGCTCAAGTGTTAGTGGGCCTGCCTAGCAAGTGTGAGGCTCTGGGTTCAAGCCCCAGGACAGCCAAAAAAAGAAAAGAAAAGAAAAGAATGAACTTTTCCACAGAAACAAGTGGCAGATGGTAGGTAGGTGTTTTTATGAGCTAAGTTCAATTTCTAAAAATTGGAGAAGAGACGAGGGCTGTTTCCTACCCCTTTTCATAAGCACCTTGAGCAAAAAATTTGAAATAGGTAAAAGTAACCTGGGATTAAGTCACCAAAAGAAGTGTTTCCTTGGCCCCTAATTTTACCTTGTTTATGTGCTGTTCTTTGTTCATACTCTCAATGTAGGACTAAGTTGACTTTGGTGCTCGAAGCAGGTGTTCTGTATGGTTTTCTGAAAAACCCAGAAGACAGTGGCAACAGATTTCAAACCAAAGTGCTATTGATTTTCAGCATTTCTTATGGTATAGTGAATAAAAACTCATATTTCTGTGGTGATTTGAACCTAATAGTTCTGTAGTAGAAGCCCTCAGATCTTTCCTGTCTAGTGGCTAGTTGGTTAGCAATTAAAGTCGAAAATCATAAAGTATAGCTCCTCTAATTACTTGATTTTAGATGTACGTTTCTTTCTATATAACCTTTTTATGTAGGGCTGTGCCATTTCTTTGCGAATGACTGCTAGAGTAATTTACATATGCATCATCTATAGTTCTCAGTTTTCATTATAAAGTAGCATAAATATAAAGCAATCTGAATAAAGAATTTCTTTGAAAAACACAGGTGAAGTAAGTCATCAAATAGGTAAATAAGTAGTGTAATCTTCCTTTTGTAGGTTAAGCCTTCCCTGGCACATGCACAGATCCAGATGTGTTTTATTGTCCTCTTTTCCAGGTTTCCAAAAGCCGCGCTATTGCATCTCAGCCCAAAAAAGCATCCTTCATAGCCAAATCACCATATTTAATAAATATTTATTGAGTATCTACTGTGTGCCAAGCATTATACTAGGTGCTAGGCATAAAAACATGAATAGTAAGATATTTTCTAGAGAAACTTGCAATGTAGCTATGGAAATAGAACATAAATACACAATTATAATACAATATGAAAAACCATATAATTAAAATATTTATGAGTGCTATAGGAATCTTACAAAGCAATAGATTAGTTCTCCTAGGGAAGCTTAGGAAAGTTTGTAGAAAAAACTAATAATCAAACTGACATTTGAATAAAGACAATAAGGAAAGAACATTGTAAGCAGAAAATGTGGCAGGTACAAAAGTTTTTTAAAGCTAGACTAAGGTGAGGGATAGAATTTTCTGGTCAGATCCAGAAGAACCTTAAAGGCCAGAAAGTTTGAATTTTATCATCTAGGTTATAAAGAGCCAACCAAGATCTTTGTAAGGAAAGAAAGAATGTGACTACATGTCTGGTTCAAGAGACACCTCATTAGGGACTGGTAGCATAAAAGCAAGGAGGGACCAAGACTCCAAGCATGAGGATCCTCAGTAAAGAGTCATAATGAGGACTTGAGCACCTCTTCCTCAGCTCAAAGAAAAATAATCCAGGCCTTTCACTGCAGCTGTCATGGACAGAGATTACTAATAAAGCAGTGTAACACACATTAAGTATGAATGATGACAGGAATGAAGTCCCTTAAAAGTCTTCTCTCTTTTAAAATGAAAATACTTTGACAATCATAAAGAATTTATAGTGCATGTCATTTCCAGCAGAAGCAGAGTGTGACAAAGGTTATAGGGAAATTCATATAAAAATTGGCTGTTGTAGGGAGGAGGCACACACCGGTGAATTGACACTGCTTAGAAATTTATTAGAGAGTCAGCCTGCAAAAGCATTTCTGATTTTCATAGCTTCTTCCCTTTTCCTGAAGCAAAGAAAATATGAGTGTGACAAATGTCTTTGTCTTCCCCACATGACAGTGATGATAATCCTTTAATTAGGCCAACGTAGCCTTTTATAAATTAGTTATTACTCCAGAAGTTAAAAGATTGTGACTTTTCCTGAACACATTTTGGAAGAAGAAAGAGTGAAAGGAAGGTATGTCTCAGACAAGTTAATCAGGTATATTTGAGTCCAGGTGGTAAAGGCTTGAGTGATAATGATAAAGGTCAGATTATGCTGACTGGTGGGAAAGGTCTTTCAGGAGGGTAGGTTCCCAGAGAAGATACTCTGATTTTCAAAGGCCACCCCTGACGTACCACCGGACCTGTAGGAAGGAAACTGAGATAATGTATTTGCTTGTGTGCTCTGACCAGGACACTTCTTTTCTTGCTTTTTTCTCAGTGTTGAAATAATAAGACTGGGAAATAGCTATTATATCAACTGGGATCGGAAGATGTTTTATGCACCGAAGAACACACCAGCACAGGCTCGCACAACCACCCTTAATGAGGAGCTTGGCCAGGTCAAGTATGTGTTCTCCGACAAAACAGGGACCCTGACTCAGAACATCATGACTTTCAACAAGTGTTCAATCAGTGGGAAGCTCTATGGTATGTATGTCTTCCTGCTTTCCCTGAGTCCTCGAGAAATCCTACTTTGCAGAGAAAAGTAGGATTTTCAAAAGTAAACTAGCTTATAGAAAGCTGTAAAACTCTGAAACTCACATTTACCTCATAGTCTCACAGTCCTTTCTATTCACTAAGTAAGAACATGCAGCCCATTCAGTTCCTAACCAAAAGGCATTTATTTAGTGCCCTAGATACAATACATTGTGCTGGGCACTGAGAATACCAAGATGTGCAAGATTTAGTCTCTGTCCTCAAGGAGTTCCTAATGTCTTGGGGAAAAACAATACACTCAACTCATTCTCATATTAAATTACTTGGCTATTGGCAGAAGGGTAGAAATTTTCAGTGTGACGGAAAGAATAAGTCTATTGCAGAGCATAATAACCATACTTAATAATAATGTATATTTCAAAATTGCTAAAATGTTCTTACTGCAAAAAATGAAAAGTATGTGAAGTGATAGGTATGTCAACTACTTGATATCATCATTCAACAGTGTACACATATATGAGAACATCACATTGTATCCATGAATGTACACAATTGTTACTTGTCAATTAAAAATTAAGCAGATGGAATAGTTAGTGTGTTGCTGAAGCTGCTAACCTGGTGATTCTTCTTTAGACCAATTAACTATATTAAAAGAAGCCATCAGTGGGTAGTCAAAGTTTGGTCAGTGTCTTCCAGGCCTAATCACTAATTTATCTTATGTCCTAAGTGTAAGCTTGTCCTTGAGACAGAGCTAAATCCTTGTGTGTATGAACATTCATCCTGGTGCACTAGCTAGCAAAGGAAGTAATCACATCTGAAAAGTTAAATACATGAGATGATGTATTTCATACATTGGGTGATGAAAAAGTTTTGGAAATAGAGAGAAGTATAGTTGCTCAATATTGTGAATGTACTAAATGCCCCTAAATTGTCTGCTTAAAATAGATAGTTATATGTTATTAAACTGAATGAGAGACAGGACTGTAAAATAGGTACAGTACTTGGGGGGGGGATACTTGTGGGAGGGGGAATGAAGGAGATTTCAGTGAGGGAATGTGGTTGATGTTCTTCATATACTTATATGACATAAAACAAAGAAACCTCTTGCAGTAGTTTTAAGTAGGGCAGGGAAGGAGTGAAGGGGGAAGAGATGGTGGGGGTGATCTAACCAATGTATAATATAAGCCTATTTGGAATTGTCACAGTGAATCCCCCTGTACAATGAATATATCCTAATTTTAAAACTTAATGGAAAAAAATAAACTGAGCATGGTGGTACATGCATTATAATCTTAGCACTTGGAAGGTAGAGGCAGGACTGTGAGCTCACAGCCAGCTGGGTTTACATAGAGAGCCTGTCTCAAAAAAACAAGAACAAAAATAAGGAAGGAAAGAAAAGAGAAGGGGAAGGGGAAAGGGGGCAAGGAAGGAGAAGGGAAAAGGTAGAAGGGGGAAAGAAAGGGGAAGGGCAAAGGGAGAAGGAAAAGGGAAGGGAAAAGGGAGACAGGAAAAGGAGGAAGGGAAAAGGGAGAAGGGAAGGGGAAGAGAAAAGGGGGAAGTGAAGGGGAAAGGAAAAGGAGAAGGGAAAGAAAGGAAAAAAGAAAGGGAGGGAGAGAGGAAGGAAGGAAGGGGTTCAAATAAGCTGAGTGTGGGGGCACACAAGCACTTGGAAGCTGAGGCAGAAGGGCTGTGAGTTTGAAGCCAGCTTGGGTTATATACATAGTGAGTTTGAGGCCAGCCTGGGCTACATAGCAAGACCCTGTCTTGAAAACCAAAGCTAGGTGCTGGTGGCTCATGCCTATAATCCTAGCTACTTAGGAGACAGAGGTCAGGAGGATCTTGTTTGAAGCCAGCCCAGGAAAATAGTTCATGACTGTATCTCGAAAATACCCATCACAAGGAAAGGGCTGGTGGAGTGGCTCAAGTGATAGAGTGACACCCTGATTTCAAAACTCAGTACCACCTGAAAAAAAATGCAGGTACTGTGGTTCACACCTGTAAGCACAGCTACTTGGGAACAGAAATTAGGAGGATCACCATTCATGCAAAAAGTTAGCAAGACCCCATCTCAACCAATAAAGCTGGACATGGTGGTTACGCTTGTTATCCCAGCTATGCAGGAGGCATAAATAGGAGGATCACAGTCCAAGCTGGCCCAAGAAAAATATGCAAGACCCTATCTCAAAAATAACTAAAAGCAAAAAGGGCTGAGGGTGTGGCTGAAGTGGTTAACACCTATCTAGCAAGCACAACACTCTGAATTGTAAACCCCAGTACCACCAAACAGAACAAAACAAAAAGTTGGCCATAAAGAAGAATGAAATTGGACTGGAGACCATCTCAAGCACAGTGCTTGTCTAGCACATGCAAAGCCCTCAGTTCAAACCCTAGTACTGCCAATAAATAAATAAGACCGTCTCTTTAAAAAAGAAGGAGGAGGAAAGAAATTATTTTGTTTGCAAGTAAGTGGATGGAACTGGAAATCATCATGTTAAGCAAAATAAGCCAAACTGAGAATGACAAATATCATAGGTTCGCTCTCATATGTGGAATCTAGACCTAAATAAAACCAGATTACTGTTTCAGTCTAGGGATCATTGGGAAGGGAGAGGACTAAAGGAAAGGTGAAGGGCAGGGGTAAATAGGATCAAATTACTTCATACCATGCACAAAAATAGAATAATGAAACACATTTAAGTTGTTTTTAAAAGGGGGGAGAGGGGAAATAAAGTAATAAAGGGGGTAAATTTGATCAAAGTATATTGTATGCATGTGTGGAAACATCACAGTGAAACTTCTTTGTATAATTAATATATGCTAATAAAAAATACTGAACAAAAAAAACAAATGACAACAAAAATAAGTAAACAAACAAAAGGATCCTAAACACTCGGAAATCCTCTAGGTAATTTTTCTAATTTGAAGTTAGAAGTTTTTCATAGATCCAGACACTTTCCCCTGACCTCACCTTAAGAGAGAAAAGCTGGGGCCCAAGCAGATGACTTCCTTTTATCCTTGGCTTAGAGAAAGGAGTGCTCTGGGGGCATTTCAGGGTTAGGTGGCATGAGAGATTTGAGGCAGCTTTGTTACAAGTGTAGGATGAAAAATCAAAAGAAATAAGTTTTTATAATCCTTCCTTTGAAATACCATTCCTAGGTATCCTCCCAAAATTAAAACAGGAACTCAAACAGATGTATGCAGATGGTCATTGCAGCATTATTTACAATAGCCTAAAGGTGGAACTAACCCATGTGTTCATGGTTATCCAACAGATGAATGGATTTTAAAAATTGATACACAAATACAATGGAATGTGATTCAGCCATAAAAAGCAATAAGTTTGATATATCTACAACATAGATGAGCCTTGAAAACAGTATGTTAAGTGAAATAAGCCAGGTACAAAAAGACAAATATTGCATGATTCTACTTATAGGAAATATGTAGAAGGCGGGAAATTCAGAGACACAAAGTAGAATAGAGGTTGCTAGGGGCTGGGGATTGGGAGGAATAGGAAGTTTCTGTTTGTAATACTTAAAAAGTATTGAGAGCTGGGGATATAGCTCAGTGGTACCAGTGCTAGCCTACCATGCATGAGGCAATAGATTTAATCCCCAGCACCATTAAAAAAAGTATTGAAAATATATAGTGGTGAGCTGGCATGGATGGTTAATCCCAGCTACTTAGGAGGCAGATATCAGGAGGATCACTGTTCAAGACCAGCCAAGGCAAAAATTAGCAAGACCCTCTCTTTCCCAACAAATAAGCCAGTTGTGGTGGTACTCACCTGTGGTCTCAGTTGTGTAGGAGCAGTGCAGGACAGGTAATAGATAGGAGGATCCTGGTTCAAGGCCAACCCTGGGCAAAAATGCAAGACCCTAACCAAATAATACTAAAGCAAAAAAGAGCTGAGAGACGAGGCTCAAGTAGTAGAGCACATGTCTAGCAAGCACAGTCCCTCTTTAAAAAAAAAAATGGAAGGGAGGGAAGGGGAGAAGAGAAGAAGGAGGAAGGAGAGAGGGGAGGGGAGGAAGGCAGGAAAAGAAGGGAAGGAAGGAAGGGAGGGAGGAGGAAAGAAATATATAGGGGTGATAATTACACATTGTGAATATAATAAATGCCACTGAATTTTACACTTAAAAACCAGCAAAAAAAAAAAAAAAAAAACAGCCAGGCACCGGTGGCTGGCATCTGTAATCCTAATTACTCAGGAGTCAGAGAGCAGGTTCCAAGCCAACCCAGACAAATAGTTCATGAGACCCTATTTCAAAAAACCCTTCACAAAAATAGGACTGGTGAAGTAGCTCAAGGCGAAGGTCCTGTTTCAAGCCCCAGCTAGCAAAAAAAAAAACAGTTAAAATGGCAGATTTTATGTTATGTATATTTTACCACAATTGAAAAAAAAAACAAAATTTTAATCCTTTTGCTAAGTCTCTGCTGTATTTGCTTACCAACAGGTTACTCCTATGACAAGAATGGACGGAAGGTGTCAGCCTCTAAGGTGAGTGATTAAAACTTCCTGGGAAATGAAGTTGAAAGCTGAGTGAGACTGTAATACAAACAAGTATTTTTAACACAATACCTGAAATGTTAAAGCTTCTAGTGACCTCAAAATATAAGAAAGCATTATGTAAATGACCTTTCTTTTTTTTTTATTTTTTTATTATTCATATGTGCATACAATGCTTAGGTCATTTCTCCCCCATGCCCCGACCCCCTCCCTTACCACCCACTCCGCCCCCTCCCTCTCCCCCCCACCCCCTCAATACCTGGCAGAAACTATTTTGCCCTTATCTCTAATTTTGTTGAAGAGAGAGTATAAGCAATAATAGGAAGGAACAAGGGTTTTTGCTAGTTGAGATAAGGATAGCTATACAGGGAGTTGACTCACATTAATTTCCTGTGCATGTGTGTTACCTTCTAGGTTAATTCTTTTTTATCTAACCTTTTCTCTAGTTCCTTGTCCCCTTCTCCTATTGGCCTCAGTTGCTTTAAATGACCTTTCTTAAAACAACTTTATTCTCTCTCTCTTCTCTTCCTCTCCTCCTCTCTCTCTTCCTCCCTCCACCATCAGGCTGGCCTCAAACTCATGATCATCTTGCCTCAGCCTCCTGAGTACTGGGATTAAAGTCCTGTGGCATGACACCTGGTGGGTTTTTTTCTCTTAAAAATGTAATCAAGTGCTTGCTTTGGCAGCACATATATTAAAATTGGAATGATACACAAAAATCGTATGTTCTCCCTCATATGTGGACATTAGATCAAGGGCAAACACAACAAGGGGATTGGACTATGAGCACATGATAAAAGCAAGAGCACACAAGGGAGGGGTGAGGATAGGTAAGACACCTAAAAAACTAGCTAGCATTTGTTGCCCTTAATGCAGAGAAACTAAAGCAGATACCTTAAAGCAACTGAGGCCAATAGGAAAAGGGGACCAGGAACTAGAGAAAAGGTTAGATCAAAAAGAATTAACCTAGAAGGTAACACCCATGCACAGGAAATCAATGTGAGTCAATGCCCTGTATAGCTATCCTTATCTCAACCAGCAAGACCCCTTGTTCCTTCCTATTATTGCTTATACTCTCTCTACAACAAAATTAGAGATAAGGGCAAAATAGTTTCTGCTGGGTATTGAGGGGGGGAGCGAGAGGGGGTGGAGTGGGTGGTAAGGGAGGGGGTGGGGGCAGGGGGGAGAAATGAACCAAGCCTTGTATGCACATATGAATAATAAAAGAAAAATGAAAAAAAAAATTGGAATGATACAGAGAAGATATGCATGGCCCCTGTGCAAGGATGACATGGAAATTTGTGAAGCATTCCATATTTTTTTAAAAAGTAATCTATGTCCTTGTAAAACAATAAATTCAAATGACATGGAAATGTATGAAGCAGAAAATAAAAATTCTTCAATCCAATTTGGATAACCAATGTAAAATTTTGGGGTGTATCCTTTCAGATGCTTTTCATTAAGTGTATATATGCACACCTATGTACATCTAGATCTAGATAGGTAGATAGATAGATAGATAGATTGATTGATTGATTGATTCATAGTATGCATACTCTTTTCAGCTTCCTTTTGTTCACCTGACAATATATTTTGGTCATCTTTCCATTTCAGTAGGTCTTGGTGTCTTATTTTTTTCCATTTTCTTTTGCTATTACAATAGCATTTTGGTAAGCATAGTGATACACACATTTTTATCCACTTTTCTGTTTCCTTAGAATAAAGTTCCAGAAGTGAAACTGGCTGTGGTCAAATGCATTTAATATTGCCATCCTGCTCTCCAAGTAGATTTGTATCACATTATTTTTTGATGTCCCACCAAGAAATGTGACAGTTCATTTTCCTCCTGTCCTTGTCAATACTGGGCATTAACAATTTTTTACTCTATAGAAATCTAATTGGTGAAAAATAAATATTTGTACTTATAAATAAAACTTATTTTAACTGATCTGTAAAAGCATAAAAACTGTACATATTTATGGGTACCATGTGTGTTTTGGTACATGTATACATTTTATAATGTTCAGATCAGAGTAAGCATATCTAGTTACTCAAACATTTATCATTTCTCTGTGGTGAAAATATTCAAAATCCTTTCTTCTAGCTTTTTGCAATATCCAGGACATTATTGTTATCTGTTGTCACCCTCCTATGCAATTAGCACTCCAGGACTTCTTGCTTCTATTTACCTTTTACTTAGTACTTCCTGATCAGCTTCTCCCCACCTCCTCCCATTCTGCTTACGATATCTCATTAGTTAGTTTACCTTCCTTTGATTACTAGTTATGTTGAATCATTCTTATGTGCTTATTTTCTAACCTGTTACCAATCTCTTTATTGCCCAATTACACTTATTTTGTGAATTGTCCATTCATATTCCTTGCCCTTTTTTTTTATTTGAAAATATTCTTTATATAGTAAAAATAACAACTCTTCCTTTGTCTTGCACATATACTACAATTATTTCTTTCATTTTGTCTTTTGGTTTTTAGTTTTTAAAATAAATTTCTGTGTAGAAGTTTTAAATTTATGTAATCAAATCTTATCAATCTTTTTCCTTTATCGCTTCAGGATTTGTAACATACTCAACAGTCTTTACCACACAAAATAAAAATATCCTCCTAGTCATTCTTCCTGTCTCTAGCTGGTTCATTTCCATTGTTTTCTCCAGTATTGGACGTCAGCTGTGTTTACTGATTTGAGCTTAATCATCCCTTCCTAGAGCTTCCTCCCTTCCTTTAGTGCACTTCTCACACTATTTCTGTCTGCTAGATCCAAGTCCAAACCCTTAGCTCCTTGACTTATGTACAACTGACTCCAATACCCCCATTCATCCAAAAAGATTGCGAAGGGAAAGGAAAATCAATGTTTTGTCATAAATAGTCTTCTAGGGGCTCTTCTAGTGATCTTGACAATATAAAGAAGGTTATACATTAAAGAGAGTAAATTCTCCCTGGAGTTTCTTTCCCCTTCCTCTTTCTTCCACTACTGATTGACCATAAAACATTTTCCACTAAATCAATAAAATCTTTATTCTGATATAAAAAAAACTTACCTCAATCCCTTCATAAAAATGCTCTGTTAAGCCAGGCACTGGTGGCTCACGCCTGTAATCCTGGCTACTCAGGAGACAGAGATCAAGAGGATCATGGTTCGAAGCCAACCCAGGCAAATAGTTCACAAGCCCCTATCTCGAAAATACCCATCACAAAAAGGGCTGGCAGAGTGGCTCAAGGTGAAGGCCCTGAGTTCAAGCCCCAGTACTGAAAAAAAAAAAAAAGTCTCTTTTCCCTGCCTTAATTAAAACATGACTTTCCCTGAGAACATATCCTTTTTCTTCCATCTCTTTCATATTCTGCATACTATAAACCCAATGATACTGTTCTCACTGCCCTCTGCCACTTTTAAACCACTACTTTTTCTCTCTTAGTCTTTCTTCATATGATGCTATGATATTTGGTATATTCATCTTTAACTCTTCTTGTCATCAACACCTATGAATCTTCTGGCTTCTCCACTTCATTCACTGAGGACTTAAAACAGCTCAGATTCTCCCTCTCCACCCAATGACTACTATAATTTGGGTGGTGTTGGCATCTCTATGGATGATTTATCAGTGTAGGCTTTTTCAGATGGCTGAAAGAATCTGACTTTCAGATAACTTGGATTGAAAAAAGCTATACTACTCATTTCCATGTGACCACATCATCACCCAGAATTATGCTACTCTGAAATTTTAAACTTTCATGTGATCTCTGATCCCAAACCTCCTCCATCTCTCTAAGTACTTGGTTCCTAGTATGCCTGCTTTCCTTTTTTTTTTTTTTTTTTTTTTGAGACAGGGTCTCACTGTGTGCCCAGGCTGACCTCAAACTAGAGATCCTCCTGCATCAGTCATTAATGGTCTTTGAAAAGATAGTTTGTGGACATGACAGGAGAGATCTCCTGACCCAGCTTCTGTGTAGATTTTAACAGTCTTAAACTGTACTTTTCCTTCAAGCTGTCTTATGCCTTGGTTTCTGTTAAATAACACTTCTCTTCTTGGTTTTCCTTCTCAATTTCTTTTCTCTTCTCCTTGCCTTAAGTGCTGATGTTCCCCAATGCTCTGGTATTGAACCTCTTCCACATCTGTACAGTCTCCTCAAATAATTACTACTTACCCACCTACTCATACCTCCAAATCCACATATCCAAGGACCCTTGATAGTTCCATTCTATACATGATCAAAACTAAAGACAGCCCATAAAAACTATCTTCTAGCTATGTTTCAACAGCTCAGAGTTTTATCAGTTGCTGTCTCCTGCCCTCAATTCTAAATCTACTTTCTCTCATCTGACATCCCTAGTTTCTATCATTTTGAATCATATATGGGTTTGCCTTTCAGGTAACTGGGTTTAACTGGTTGTTTGGCCTTCAACATCAGATTTACCCAAGAATGTTCCTTCCAGATCATGTTGTACTTCAGCTCCAAGCCATCCCTGCCTTAGTCCTATACCTACCCAGGTCCATTGTTCTCACATATTACTTTCTTCAAGGGAAGATGAGGAAGTAGCTCGGATCTCTTTCATGAGCTTCCAAACTATATATACAATGGCTGCCTTCATTACTCTACCTGTGTTCCTTTCAAGTATGTCCATTTTACTGTCAAAAACCTTCTCCTATCCAGGCATGGTGGTAATGCCTATAATCTCAGCACTCTAGAGGCTGAAATAGGAAGATCATGATTTCAAGAGGCTATAGAGTGAGTTTGAGGCCTACCTCAAAAACAAAATAAAACCCTTCTTCTCCTGCTGGGTTTCCTATCTCAGTGAAAGGTCTCATTGTCTATTCAGTGGTCCAACTGGGAAATATAAAATTATTCTTAACTCTTACCCTCTTTCACTCCTCATTCTCCATGTCCTGCCACTATCTCAGTGAAGGATCTCATTGTCTATTCAGTGGTCCAACTGGGAAATATAAAATTATTCTTAACTCTTCCCCTCTTTCACTACTCATTCTCCATGTCCTGCCACTTCCAGCTCTCCACATTTTCAAATCCATCCTCTTAACTGATTTATTGTCACTACTTTATCATTTCTCATGTGAATCACTGAATAGCTTCCTGAGTGGTCTCTCTGCCTCTCATCTTGCTACTTCCAAGGTATTCTCCATACCAGAAGACTTCCTCTGACCCAAATCTGATTTCCAGTGGAAAGTCGCTATGCCACCATATTTGTGAATAAGATGGCAATGCAGTGATCTTGCCTTCCTCTCTGACCTTCATCCTTCATTGTTTGCCAACCTCTGCTTTCAGAGAACTAGTTTAAGAACTCAATTTTAGAATGTAATGGGTTATCTTAAATTTCTAAACACATAAAATTTCCAGAGCTCATACCTCTATGATTGGCCAAGACTAGAGTTTGACTTGGAGACCATACTTACTCTGACTAAACTCCCTCTAGATGGGATGTAGAAAATTGCTGGAATAGATCACTACAAACTTCCCTTTCCCCAACACAGCACCAAACAGGACAATTGTATCTGCACTTGAGTCTTAGGGCCCAGCCCAGGTAGAGGCACAACTACAAAGAACTGGGAAAAGATCCTTGAAGTTCTAATATGAGCTGGACACATGTGTTAATAGCATCATACTGCAGAGTGGGTATAGGAAAGTCTCAAGGCCAGTGTCTACCTATGGTGGCTATAAGCAATCTAACTGAAATGGAAAGAAGAGTCAGTGTCTGAAGGAACCAGGTTATAGCAAGGCAAATGGTGAATTTTAGGTCTTTGATTGAGGCACAGACTATGGATTGAGACAAGGATTAAAATAGAAACACAAGCAAAAGTTCAGGGACCATGAGAGTTAGAGGTGTGAAGGATCAGGTATGTTAACAGGTCAAGCAAAATTAAGTTTTCAAACAAGCATGTACTGAAGCTTGTCATGTGGCATTGTCTCTGTCTCTAGCCCCCTTTCCCTGTGGGATAAAGTGCCACATAGCAATACCACTGTACCTGGTACCTGTTCCACTCTCAGCATCCAAACTCAGGCAGAAGATAATCAGAAACAAAACTTTCCCTAGACACCACTTACTAATAGGGAGAAGTTACCCTCTCAGCCTCAGGTTTGATTGAATTTGGAAGACTAGAGTCTGAAGATCACCACTAATCATCCAGAATAGCTAGGGTAAAAATGGCAAGAAGGGTCTGCTCAGGATCTTTTTTGGCCCGAGTAAATGAATGGTCCAGCTGCAAGTGCTTTAGAAACTAGAATAATATCTTCGTCGTTTATCTTGTTTTTCTCTTCTCATCCTCCTCAGAGTTCTAATCATATTCCAGAAATGACCCCAAAATGACTGTCTATAAAATGTCAAGCTGTTGCTGAGAACTTTGTTCTGGCTTATATGTTCCAGAGAGACAAGGTCGACTTCTCCTACAACAAACTGGCTGATCCTAAGTTTTCGTTTTATGACAAGACTTTGGTAGAAGCAGTGAAAAGAGGAGATCACTGGGTGCACTTGTTTTTCCTCTCCCTCTCATTATGTCATACTGTGATGTCAGAAGAGAAAGTGGAAGGTGAGGAAAGGCCTGAGACCTCATGGACTGAGAATGTGTCATAGAGTCTAGGCTAGTTGGAGTGGGTGTGATTCTATATGATTTGTAATAGCTTAATCTATGAAAGAACTTTCTAACAGGGAGCACTGTCCAGTAATGGAATGGATAATTGAGATAAATAGTGAGTTTAAAGATATTCAAGTAGAAAATAACCTCTTGCTTTAAAGGAAGATTCATTCATTGAACGGGAGTCAAACTTGGTGTCATCTATGGAGCTTCCGGTCTTGAAACTGTAATAATAATTCTATCACAGAATCCCTCTGAATTGTCCCCAAGATCAGTCCCACTATCTCTGACAAAACATCCTGAAGGATGAGTTGAGTCATCCTCTGTTATTACACAGTTTAAAGGTATCCCCACATAGCTTAGTTTCTTTAGTAACCAAATTTAATACAATGAATAGAAATGACTGGTTATAAATTAAGATTTTTTTTCTTAAAAACAAGAATTCTTTTCCTCCCCAGCTGTACTTGGAGGGTTGAACTTAGGGCCTCACGATTGCTAGGCAGGTGCTCTACCACTTGAGCCTCTCTGCCAGCCCTTAGAAAGAAGAATTCTTACAAATAAGAATTTAGGCAACAAAATGAATCATGTCCTTTAATATATATATATTCTTAATATAATATTACCAGCAACAACATATACAAAAGTTAACAGTTTTACAGATTGCTTCCATTATATTATCTTCAGTAATCTTCACAACAGCCCTCTGAGATAGAAGACAGGCGAAACGATCCCAGTTTTATAGAGAAGGAAACTGAAGCTAAAAGACATTAAATTACCTGCAGAAAACCCTATTATAAAGAAGGACAAAGATAAGAACCCATATCTCGTGGCCCTATGATATCCCACCCCACCACATACCAAGACATTGCTATTATTTAAACCATATTTGGCCTTGTCTTTATTTAGACACAAGACAGTATTCTTGATTGTAGAGTTGATAACATCTTATGTCTGGTTTAAAATTTTACTCATCTACCTATTCCCAAGTATAAGATTCCAATGATGCCTGACTGTTTGAAAAATCAACTTGGTCTTCAGAAGAGAAATAACCCAAAATATACCACAGGTAATTATAATACTATAACAGAGAAGTTCCAGAAAATCTTTAGTAATATCAGATTGAAAGACTGATTCAATAGAGTGAATCATTTAGCTTCTCAGGGTGAGTTAAAGGTGATAGCATTCACTCATTCATAAAATTTGTTTACTAAACCATCAATCTTATATCATGGTGTTTACCACAGTGTGGCTGACCTTATGCAGGAGCACCTTGTGCCATGCACATGAGAATTTGTTAAAAATTAAATTTCCTCAACCCTCTTCCCAGATTTTGTGATTCCTAGGTTCACTAAGTTTGGATAAGGGCCCAGGAATCTGCATTTTAGCAAGTTCCCTGATCCATCTTTACCAACTAAAGTTGGAAATTAACTGCTTATGTTTTATTTGTTTATATACATTGCATGTACCATGTACCTCTATCATACTAACTCAGGTCTGTGAAATGAGTTGAAAATATTGGAAATAAAAAGAAAACATGTTCTATAAATCTGGCCTTTTAGGACCAGACTTATGAGGAAGTTTTGAAGAAAAATGTCCGCTCCTGGGCTCCATCATTATATAAGCCACCTGAAAGATGGTGTCACTTCTGAGTAGACTTCAGCTGCTCATCTCTGTGGGCTCTAGTTGCCCTCTTCTCTCCCATCAGGTGAGCTGGTGTACCAGGCTCAGTCCCCAGATGAAGGTGCCCTGGTCACTGCTGCCAGAAACCTTGGCTTTGTGTTCCGTTCTCGCACATCTGAGACAATCACGATGGTCGAAATGGGAGAAACCAGAGTCTACCAGCTGCTGGCTATTTTGGATTTCAGCAATGTGCGCAAGAGGATGTCTGTTATTGGTGGGTGCCCCTCCTAGTCAGCCTTCTTCATTCTTTGTCCTTTATACACATTTGCACATTGACTTTCTCTTTCATCTACTCAGAAATGCTTTCTCCCACTCATATGCCTTACAGGTACCATGCCTCAAATATAAACACACATCCATTCCCACTTTTTCTCTCATGTCCTTTAAATTTTCTCTTATATACATGTGAGGGCTTACTACCATATGCTAAGTCCCTTCCCTAGTATTTCTGGATAGTGGCTTGTCAGCACCCTGAAACCAAGATAGGAATAGGTAATAAATTCATAAAGCCTGAGCATGGAGTAAATACAGATAATACAATCAGCCTTCCTTATCTATGGATCCATGGATTCAACCAAAAATATTTGAAAAAAAAAAAGTTTTGTCTGGCCTGGAGGTATAGCTCAGTTATAGAGCACCAAAAAAAAGCTGTCTATTGTCTGTACTGAACATGTACAGATTTCCTTGTCTTATTCCTTAAACAATACAGTATTACAACTACTTACATAGCACTTGCATTGTATTAGAATTATAAGTAATCTAAAGCTGATTTAAAGTATATGGGATGATGTGCATAGGTTATATGCAAATACTATGCCATTCTATATGAGAGACTTAACCATCAATGCATTTTCTGGGGCAGGGGTGTCCAATCCCTCAAGATACTAAGAAACAGCTGTATAGGGGAAATACTTACTGTCTTGCTCTCTCATTTAGTTTTGGCCTCAGACAAAAAGAAAGAAGATCATTTTTCATCCTTGGTTTTTACTAGGTATAGGCCTTGGTCTGGGACTTGGAAATAAGAAGCTAGATGTGGAGCTAGGTATGTTGGTATGAGCCTGTAATCCCAACTACTTAGGAGGCTGAAGGTAGAAAATCTGGGTCAGAGTCTGACCCCCAGCAAAAATGTGAGAACCTATCCAAAATATAACTAAAGTAAAAAAGGGATAGGGTGTGGCTCATGTGTAGAGCACCTGCCTACTCTTAGTTCAAGTCCTAGTACTGCTACCCCACCTCAAAAAAAAAGTTATGGGTGATTATGCGTTAGTCTTCTACAAGGGATATTTTACACATGGAAGAACTGGCTCCATAAGTTACTCTGTCATTCTCTCTAGCCCTTATCACATAACCTATCCCATGTGACCACTCATTGAATTCTTAATATTAGTTACTTTTGCATCACTGTGTCCAAAGTACCTGACAGAAACAACTTAAAGGGTAGAATTATTTGTTTTGGCTTACAGTTTCAGAGGTGTCAGTCCATCATGGTGGAGAGAGGTCATGGTGGCAGCCAGATAGCAGAGAAAGGAGATACAGAAAGAGGCTAGGGCAAGATATATCCCCCGAAGACATACCACCAAGTGACCTACTTCCTCCAGCTAGGTCCCACCTCCTACTTTTACCACCTCCCAATGATGCCATTATATTATGAATCCATCTGGGAATTAATCCATTCATTAGACCAGAGTTCTCATGGTCTTATCATCTCTGAAAATACCATCACAAATACCAGCAGAGATGTGCTTTACTATCTCCTAGGTGCTTCTTAATTCAGTCAAATTGACAATTAAGATTAATCACAGCCTCCAAAGATAGCAGAAGCAAATGTCATGGGAAACAGCTTCCTGCCAATGACCCAGATAAGTTCTTTTAACAGTAGGCCTATATGGTTACTTTGCTTAATGTTTTCATTTTTAGTGCTGACACCTGAAAATCGGGTAATGTTGTTCTGTAAGGGAGCAGATACCGTCATCTGTGAGCTGCTTCATCCATCCTGTACATCCCTTAGTGATGTGACCATGGAACATTTAGATGTAAGTGTTTAGACTGCAGGAGACAAAAGCATGGGTGATTCTCTGCATCTAGATACATGTTCACAAATATGTCCCTGTGTCAGTGTTGCTGTATGGGTGTGTATATTGGCATTTATGTCTCTTTAGTTGGTAAAAGAATAAAACTATCTCATTCTGTGTTATTCTCATTGACCACATTTCCAACTTCTATATCAACATTTTGGGTGGGCTGAGGGGGTGGCTCAAGTGGTACAGTACCTACCTAGCAAGTGCAAGGCCCTGAGTTCAAACCTTAGTATTGCTGGGCACCAGTGGCTCATGCCTGTAATCCTTGCTACTCAGGAGGCAGAGATCAGGAGGATCACGTTTCAAAGCCAGCCCAGGCAAATAGTTTGTGAGACCCTATCTCAAAAAAACCCATCACAAAAAAGGGCTGGTGGAGTGGCTCAAGGTGGAGGCCGTGAGTTCAAACCCAGTACTGAAACAAAACAAACAAAAACAAACTTAGTATCACCAAAAAAAAAAAAAAAAAAAAGAGTTGGGTGGGACAGAACCCCAGAGACATGATGAATATAGTATCTGTAGGAGCACTTAAAAAATCAGAATAGTTCACCTCCCCTCTCCCTATTTTAATCTACTTCTGCCCTCTAGGATTTGGGATATATAAAAAAGATAATGGCCTCAGCCTGCTGGTATAAGAAAGGAAAACCAAATGCATCCATTCAGGTTTCTACCCCTAAATCTGGAATATAAAAGGTTAGGGGACTAAGGAGAGAACAAGAACCAGGATGGGGGAAAGGTCAAATCAAAAAATATTTTATAATAGGGAGTGGTGCTCCCAATCCCATCCACTCAGGAGGCAGAAATCTGGAGGATTGCAGTTTGAAGCCAACCCAGGCAAAAGATTAGCAAGTCCCCATTTCAGCCAATAAGCAGGGAGTGGTGGCTCATGCCTCTCATGTCAGCTACACAGTTTCATAAATAGGATTGTGGTCCATGCTGGCCCAGGCAAAATTACAAGCACCTGCCTAGCAAGTGTGAGGCCCTGAGTACCAAACCCAGTACTACCAAAATAGGTAGATAGATAGATAGATAAGTATAAAATGAAATAGATTAGAGGAAATGCTATTTTATTAGGCTATTTGTGCATGACTCTGTTAACACATAACCAGAAGTCAGAAAACAAATAGCCAGTAAGCATATGAAAATATGTTCAACATCATTATCATTAGAGAAATGCAAATCAAAAACACAAAATTTATATCCACTAGGATAGCTCAAATAAAAAAGTAACCATGTCATAACAAATGTTGACAAAGATGGAGAGAAATTGTAACCTTCATATATTACTAATGGAAGAGTAAAATGGCACAGCCATTTTGGAAAACCATCTGGCATTTCCTAAGAAAGTTAAGAATAGAGCTATTGTTAATGGTGTTGGTGTAATCTTTGTCCCACATGGAAGAATCCATGGCAGGACACATGGGTGTAAATGGAGTTTATTAAAAGTTAGGGAAGGGAAATACAAAGGGAGCATGGTAGTGGGGCCCAGGTGGAAGCCAGAAGCAGAGAGATAAAGAGAGGAGAGAGAGGGGAGAGAAAGAGAGCTTCTCCTCTTCAGGTACTTTTAAAACCTACAATAACTTATGAGAAGGGAGGAACCGGGTGATTTCCATCCAATAATCAATGAGTGGGGAGGGGAATGGGTGGTTCCCAAGCCAGTTGAGGGCATGTCATTACCTGGCTCCATTGACCTTAGAGCCAAGGGGAAAGCTGGCAGACTCCATGTGCCTATGTTACTTCCCATGTGCCTATGTTTCCTTCCCATAAGGAAGAAATTCCCATTCTTTCTAACTTATTGTAATTACAGTGGAGCTCTTTGGGGAGGAATCTTAGTCCCAAATTTTCCCTAATTCTAGCCGGCCTCACTATCATATCACCCAGCAATTCCATTCCTACTTATACTTCCAGAGAAATGAAAATACACATCCAAACAGAAACTTGTATCTGAGTGTTCACATAATAGCCAAAAAGTTGAAACATACCAAGTATCTATCAACAGATGAATAAATAAAATGTGGTATATTTGTACAAAGCAATGTTATTTGGCAATGACAAGGAATGAAGCACTGATACATGCTACAACCTAGATGAACCTTGAAAACATAATGCTAAGCAAAAGGAGCCAAAAGGTAATGTATTTTATGATTCCATTTTTATGAAATGTCCAGGCTAGCCAAACCTACAGAGATAAAAAATAAATTAGTGGTTGCCATAGAGCAGGAAAAGAAAGCAATGGGGAATGACTGCTACTAATGGACAGGTGTTTCTTTTGTGGGTGATGGATATGTTCTGGAATTAATGATGATGTTTGTACAAACTTTATGAATATGCTAAATAAAAGGCCCTGAATTGTATGCTTAAAAGGGGTAAAGATAACTCATATATCTTACACTGGTTCCCAGAGGCCATAGTATTTTTTATGGCCTACTCTTACCTTTTAACCTTCCAGAACACATGAATTGGGGTACCTTCTTAGAGAGCATTTCCACAGACTGGCAGTGAAAAGTTAATACATCTGGTAAAGACTTATCCACTGAGCTAACAGATGTAGATAAATATACAAACATGTGATGTGTAACATATCCATTGAATATCTAATGAAGGAAGGAAGGAAGGGAGGGAAATTTAAATGAATGTATGTTTGCAAAAAATAGTAATACCTTGTCTTTTTATGACAACTTCTTTTTACATTTTCTTCCCTTCCTTTTTGTATCATAGTTGTCATCATCTTCTTTGTAGGGGGTGAACTATTACTTCAATTTTATAAGAAAGAAACCTAGAAGTCTTGCTTTTTCCCAGAGCCACTTAGCAAGTTTAGCTAATTATAAGTAAACTGTAGCTTAAAGCTAGAACCTTCTCTCTTAGTCTCTTAAATGTATTCTCAATCTTCTAGCCTATGCTGATCCCATCCTTGGAACATTTTGCTAAGTTCAAGAGCTGCTTTCTGTTGGAGTATGGGTCAAGGGCAGAGAACCTGCCTACCAAGTGCAAGGCCCTGAGTTCAAACCCCAGTACCACCACAAAAAAAAAAAAATTCAAAGTTGCTTTCTGCTTAGAATAAGTACTAAACCCATGGTGTCATGAATTTGGGGAGCCATGTGTTGGTAAAAGAATTTACCAAGTCAGAGAGCAAAGATTTATTAGGACACCATTTAAAGAGAAGACAACAGTGGGCAGTTATATAAAGGAGCATAGACAGGGTTGAGAAGAGGTTTTACAACTCAGGTTAGACTACTTTTGATTGACTGGCTCCCTTTTTGTGGCCCTTACTGATTGGTTGTCTCTTCCTTGGATCATGGTTTGATTTCATGGGCACAGGAACATCTCTTGAGCTGGCTTTTACTTCCACATTCCATCTGGGCCCCCCAGCAGGCCCGATACACCTCCCATATTTCATGCATCCCTTGGTATTCCTTTGTTCACCATGTCTCCTTAAAATGGAGGCCTCCTCCACAATGGTGCTAACCATTAAACCCTATTTGGCTGGCAGATGGGACCTCTGGGTTAGTCTGCCATTCCCTTCACAGCCTTAACCCTGCTCGTCTTTGGTGTACATACATCTTCCAGGATTTTGCCTCTGAAGGCCTGCGTACCCTCATGGTGGCCTACCGAGAGTTGGACCATGAGTATTTCAAGAGCTGGAGCAAGAAGCACAGTGAAGCCTACCTGTCTCTGGAGAACCGGGAGAATAAATTGTCACTTGTCTATGAAGAGATTGAAAAAGACTTGATGGTGAGTGTGAAGAAATCAGGGACAGACTGGGGGCTGGCAGTGGGGTGGGGGCAGCCAGTAGGCTTAAGCAAGGGCTCCTGGGAATCAACACACGCAGGTTGTGTGTGAGAGAGACAGACAGGCAGGTTCAGCAGGAGAGTTCCAAAGCTTTGTGCCAGGGAGGCTGGGTGTGGGAATTCAGGCTGATTCAGTATCTCTGGATCTTCTGAATCCACAATTGAAAATGCACTGGCAGCGTTTCTAATCCCCAGGATGCACACAGAATTTAAGTAATCTGGGAGCAATCAAGATCTGAGTAATGCACAGATTAGATAATCCAGAATGAATTGATAGTATAATCAAGACAGAAATATTCACTGGTTCATTCAGCATATTTATTATGTTGTACTGGACACTGTGCCTATAGCAATAAGAAAACACAAATAAAAAGCAATGTACATAATACGCTGGATGATGGAAGTGCTCCAGGAAAAAAATAAAGCCAGGAAGAGAGAGTGTGTCAGCATGTGCAGTGTGTTTTGGAGGGGGCAGAGGTATTGTTGCTTTTGTGGGAGGCAGTGACTGGGGTCTTGAACTTGGGGCCTCACAGTTGATAGGCAGGTACTCTACCACTTGAGTCATACCCCCAGACTCTTTTGCTTTTGTTTATTTTTCAGGTAGGGTCTCACTTTTGCCCAGGTTGGCCTTGGATTGCAGTTCCCCTGCCTCTGCCTCCTTCATAGCTGGGATTATGCCTGACTTGTTTGTTGAGATGTTATCTCACTAACTTTTTCCCAGGCTGGCTTCAAACCACAATCCTCCTGTTCTCCACCTCCAGAGTAGCTGAGATTACAGGTGTGAGCCATCACACCCAGCCATTATTGCTATTTAAATAGAGCAGTTAGTCTTCACTGTGAAGAAAACATCTAAGAAGAGACCTGAAGAAGGCAGCAAGCCAAACAGCTCTCTTTCTTTTCACTTGAGCTTTTCAGATAGAGTAATAACAAGAGAAAAGATCCTGACCCAAGAGTAGGCCTGACTAGTACTTAAGGCAGCCAGTATGGCTAGAACAGGGTAACTGAGGGGGTGGAAATAAAAGGATGTGAGAAGAAGGTTGTCATAGGCCAGAATGAGAAAATAGAGGAAACCATGAAAACATGAAAGAGTTCAACCAGAGAAGTGATGTGATAACTTTTAAAATCATTACTTTGGCTGTTATGTTGACATTACAACTATTAGGGAGCAAAGGGAGAACATCTAATTGGTAGTTGGAATAGTACAAGTGAGAGATGATGGTTTTGGACCAGACAGTACTAATGGAAGTGGTTGGGCACTAGTGGCCCGCACCTGTAATCCTAGCTACTTGGGAGACTGAGATTAGGAGGATCATGGTTCAAGGCCAGCCAGCCAGGGCTAATAGTTCATGAGACTCCCATCTTCAAAATATTCACAGCAAAATGTACTGGAGGTGTGGCTCAAGTGGTAGAGTGTCTGCTTTGCAGGTGTGAAGTCCCAAGTTCAAACCCCAGTTCCAAAAAAAGGACTGGCGAGTTGCTTGAGGGGTAGAGCGCCTGCCTGGCAAGCATGAGGACATGAGGCCCTAAGTTCAAACTCCAGTACATCCAAAAAATAAAAAGAAGAAGAAGAAAAAGTAATGGGAGTGGTAAGAAAAGACCAAATTTTGTATGATTTTAAAGGTAGAACTAACAGAATTTGCTGAGAAGTTAAGGATGACCCAAACTTTTTTTTAAGCAGACTGATAAGAAGTTGGCTCTGCTATAAAAAGAGAATCCAGTGACACCAAAAGAAAAATGTAGAGATCCCAAATTTCCTCCCACAGTTGTCAGTCTTTCTAGAGGGTTACCAGAAATTGTTCAATAGTTTGTCTACCTGGCAGTTCCTTAGATTTAGTCCTTTTACCCATCCCTGTGTCAGCATGTTTGGGGTATTATAAAGAGAAAGCATGATGCTGGGCCAAGATTCTTTTAATCTAATGTGGGGAAAAAATATCTTGAAACTTAGAGAGCCCCAGTGAGTACAAACAATGAAGTACCTTCAAGCCCTTGCAGGGTTGAAAGAAAAACAGGAGTAAGGTATGGAGATCCATCATCTGGGACTCATCAGCTTTTAGGCCAAGAAGTATGATATGGAGCAAGGGAAAAGTGAAGGCATATTGGAAAAACAGATGGTGTAAAAGTAACACATAGCTGCATGTATGACTCAAACCTCTTCCCTCTCTGGTCCCTAATACCATTTCTAAATTTGATTTCAGTACATGGCTGAAAAGCTGTGTGTGTTGAAAGGCAGAGGGTGCTGAGTTTTATCCCTCAGAGGTCCTCATTCCAGGACAGAGTCAGCTTATGGAAGAATGCTGAGGCATCCAATCAGTTGTTAGGCAGCACTAAATGCTGTGACACTCTTCCTTTCCTCACTCACTGGTATCTCTATTTGAAGCTGTTAGGGGCCACAGCCATAGAAGACAAGCTGCAAGATAAAGTACCTGAGACAATCATCACCCTAAGGAAAGCCACAACTAAAATATGGATTTTAACTGGCGATAAGCAAGGTAAAGGGAAGCTCCTAGCCTAAGCAATCAATCCTTTTCCCCACCCATGTGAGCCTGTTCTTTCCTTCTTCATTTTCCTTTTTTTCTTAGCAATTTTATTGACAAATATCTGTAACTAAGAACAAGTCCTTGACTGGTGGAGTGGCTCAAGTGGTAGAAGGCCTGCTTAGGAAATGAGCAGGCATGAGGCCCTGAGTTCAAACTCCAGTTCTGGAAAAAAAAGAGCAAGTCCTTATATACAATTTAGTGAGCAGGTCAGATGCTATATTACTTATTAAAGACACAGAGACATAACATGTCAGCCAGAAACATACAAGCTAAAAAAATTTAAAGCTGAGTTTGCTTTTACCTCTCTGTTGTCCAAAGATTCATTTTCTTTCCAGGTCCCACTAATTTGTTTGAAAATGCTCGACTCTGCTCCTACCCTAGTTAGGCCATCATCCCCTGTTATTTGTACTTCTACAAAAACTTCTGGCCTGAACTCTCTGTCTCTTGCCATTATTAATGTCAGCATTGCCTACAAATAAGCATCAGCTTAGTCATCTTCATATGCTCTAATTTTATGATAGTACTTTGGTTTCAGGATCCTATAGTGACTCCATAATGTAAAGGTCAGACTCCTCTGTCTAGCTTTCAAAACTTTGATAATCTATTGCTATCCTGTATCCCTGTCTCCAGCCTAATGTGATCATTGTTTTCAGTATATCCCAAACAATCCAATTCCTACTCTAGGGCCTACAGTTTGGGTTGCTTCCTCACTTGAAATACCTTTCCCTTCCCCTAAACAGTCTTATTAATTGTTCAAGGTCTTACTGCAAGAAAGTTCCTAGGACAATTGCAATCTGTCCTCTGAATTCTCATACCACTTGTAGTCAGGATTAGGTACTTAATTTTTTAAATTTTTCTTCCTTAGTATGAATTTATTCCAAATTCTAGGTTTCTTAAGATAAAGTAAGGATACAACTTAAACATGTCTCAGTCCCAAATAAGATTTAGCATAGAAATGGGCACAGTGCTGTTCAAAGAAACACATCCTGATTGTCTAAAGAAGTGGATGCAGATTGGAATTGTTTTCTAAAATAGGAAAGACTTTCCAGAGAAGGCTAAGTCTGAATGATCCTAGTTATTAATAAATCACTCAAAAGTCTATATCAACTAGACACTTGTGGCTGTTTTAATATAGTCTCTAATGCTTCATGCTTTAAGTACATTCAAGGTAAATGTGAACAAATGGGCTCTGAGTCCACCATTAGAGTCTGTGTGACCCTGTCCCTATCTATAAGTGAAGACCCTGTTCCTATCTATAAATGCCAGCAAAAATAAGACCTGTGTTTCCTTCCCTGCAGAGACTGCTGTGAACATTGCCTATTCCTGTAATATATTAGAGGATGAAATGGATGGAGTATTCACGGTGAAAGGCAAGGATAGTGAGACAATTCGCCAAGAACTCAGGTACATGTGGGACAGTGGCCACAGTCAATCCCTGAATCTAAGATTTATAACTCACATCTACCCCCAATGTGAACCTCACATTACCAGAAGGAACAGAGAAGAAATGAAAGATGGGAAACAAAAAAACCCCTGAAATATTTGAGAGAATTTGAGAGAATGCTTCTGAAAGAAGCATTCAGATTAAAGGAATTGGAGTGTGGGGATAGAGAAGTGTGGTATATGGATAGTCAGCAACCTACAGCAGTAGTTGTTGAGTCTGAGGTTCTGCCTGGCTTTGCAGGTCCTGCAGGCTTTGCTGTACTCCACTTGCCCACTTTCACCTGGGACACATTTTCTTTCTTATGTTCTGGGGCTTCAGGTCAGACTTTGACCACTACTCTTGGCTTTCAGGACAGCAAGGGGCAAGATGAAACCTGAGTCTCTTCTGGAATCAGATCCCATAAACATTTACCTCACAGAGAAACCCAAAATGCCCTTCAGAATACCTGAAGAGGAGCCCAATGGCAACTATGGCTTGATCATCAATGGCTACAGTCTGGTGGGCAACACAGAACTACAACTCTGTTCTCTTCTTCCAAGGAACTCTCTTCTTAGGTCCAACCCACTCCAGGGAAATGTCAAGACCCCTTCTCTATTCTGTGTTATTCTATTCCTCCTCCTTCAGGTGCCCTTGCCTGAAAGACACATTTCCGAAGGCTACTCTAGGCAGGAGTAAATAAAGAGAAGCCAAAGCAAATTCTTTCCTCATCTAAATTCTTCACTACTGATGTGGCTGGTCACTTAGAGAAGTTGTAGATCAAGTAAAATCAGGCCTTCCAAGAAGTCACTTGGCCTCATAGCCCCACCCACTGATTTTTACCCAGTAAGAGGCCATGACCAGTTTCCCATTCGATGCTGAGTCAGATGTAAGGATTCCTAGAACTGACTTTGGCAGTGAACCTCTCTTTGGGGTGGCATACCTGGGAAACAACTATGCCTGCCGTGTGAAGGACAGAAGAATATCAAGAAAAGGGGAGGGATCTGGGAAGATCTTGCCTTAAGAGTCTTCTGGGGAGACCTGAAGAGTATGTGTGCTCTGGTTCCATAGGCCTATGCTCTAGAAGGGAACTTGGAGGTGGAACTGCTGCGAACAGCGTGCATGTGCAAGGGGGTGATCTGCTGCCGGATGACACCCCTTCAGAAAGCCCAGGTGGTACAGCTGGTGAAGAGGTACAAGAAGGTGGTGACACTGGCCATCGGGGATGGGGCCAATGACGTCAGCATGATCAAAGGCATGTGAGGGGAGGGGAGCAGTAGTCCCCAGCCATGGCGTGCCCCTTCTTTCGTGGGCAAATGATCTGGGTGGTACTGTGTTGCTAGCTCATACTCCTACCTGTTTGTACTGTTTTGCAACTCCATTCATGTTTCTCTGTACCAGCATTCCCCCTATTTGCAATTGGTCTTCTTCAATTGATCTTCTTCAATTGATTCAAGTGGCTTCCATAGATAACAAGAAATTTAACATCTCAATATCTGGACAGTGGAAAGAGCCCAGATGGCTAGAGTAGGGGCAAAGGACATCTGAGACAACTTTCGAGGACTAGCTGTACTAGGCGTTCTTGAGTGACAGTATCCAAAACAAAGTGCAGAAGAATGGGCTATATTCTAATTTGTTGGGGGCACAAAGAGAGCAACTCATTAAGGAGAAAAGAGACCACTAAGGAAGTGTCATTTTTTTTCTTTTTTCTTTTTTTTTTTTTTAGGGAAGCATCATTTTGAACTGGCAGTATTTTCCAAATGCAAAATAAGGGGTTCATTATACTTCTGTGGGTGGGACCCCAGCAATAAGCTCTGAGGCTTAGAAGCTTCTGGGTTTCATTACAGCTGCCCACATTGGGGTTGGCATCAGCGGCCAGGAGGGGATGCAGGCCATGCTCAACAGTGACTTTGCCTTCTCCCAGTTCCACTACCTTCAGCGTCTACTCTTGGTCCATGGCCGCTGGTCTTATAATCGCATGTGCAAGTTTCTCAGCTACTTCTTTTACAAGAACTTTGCCTTCACCCTGGTGCACTTCTGGTATGCCTTCTTCAATGGGTTCTCTGCACAGGTAGGAGATTAGGTGGTATTTTCCACTCTAGTTAACTGGGTCTACTCTGGTCACCCTTACTTCAGCCAGCTCAGATCTTTTTCTCTAGAGACCAATGTATGGGTTGAGGGCATGGCTCAAATGGTAGAACACTTGCCTACCATGTGCAAGGCTCTGGGTTTGATCCCAAGTACTGCAAAAAAATTTTTAAATTTTATTTTTTAATCCCATGCTGATCCCATCTCCCAAGCCTACACTAACCTTAAATTTTCAAATGATAACCCTTTGGTGTGACTGTGATTTGGTCTTGACTCCTACCTTCAGAACTCTCCCATCAGCTACTTTCATCTTTTCCCCAACATTGGTACTAGAGTTTCCAAACATACGTAATGGCGGGAAAATCGCTGGATCTGAAGTTTTCTTAGTATCCAAAGTAATCTTTATGGAACAGTTGAAGCTTCAAGGTCATGCCAGGCAGGCTATTAGCCTGTTCCATAGTCATACTTGGAACTACAACTTCCCTTTACTTCTCTTCCTCTAGCCTGACTCCCTGTTCCAACACACACAGCAACTGTTGCTCTTATGAATTAATTCCATATTTGCATATGAAATCTCCATGACACTAGTGGGGAAGAGTGACACCTGGATTTTGATGTTCTAAGAGGAGTCTCTTATCCTATGAGAAGTTTTTTAGAAGTCTTCCAAAGTTCCCCAAGAGAAACAACCTCAGGAATGATTCGCCTGGATGATCCCTACAACCAGTCAGCAGACTGTGCTAGACTTGTATACCCTTGGTACCTAGTGAAGCCAGTCTGGTTTGTGGGAGAAGCCAGTCTGGTTTGTGAAAGTTGTGTGTGATACATGTGTTGCTGCTGACCTCTTGTGGATAGTAAGCAAAGGAACCCTCTCCATGCCCCAGGGTGGAGCACCCAAATAGAAAAGGGGCATTGAGTTTATTCTTGCAAGTGTCAGATGTGCAGTGTTACAGAAGCCACTAAATGCCACCATACAGATAAAGAAAAAAAGCCTAAAGGTATACTTGCCTATGAATGTAGGGGTACAGCCAGCCTTCCCTAGCAGCCATTCTGGGTCCTTTCTTTGTAGGGAGGAACCATGCAAGCTATGGAGGGTTTGTCTAGATCAGTCTTGAAAGTTTGGTGTAGCCTTGCCTCAGCCCCAACCCTTCTGAATTCAGCAGGATCAAATAGAAACTGAGACTCTCAGTTTCTGAAATCCAAATATTGCTCTAGTTAGTATGGTAGTGGGTAGTTAGGGGCCAGAAGGTTGTCTTGGACCTGAGAGGTGGAGCTTGGACTTTGGAGAATGGAGTTGAAAAATCTCCTTGTATTCTTACAGACAGTTTATGATACCTGGTTTATCACCTGCTACAATTTGATCTACACCTCCCTCCCTGTCCTGGGCATGAGTCTGTTTGATCAGGTAAGATCCAGAAGCAAGCCTCTTAGGGTTGAAGCTCCTGGACTCAGACAGTGAGGAAGACAGCAAGAGTTGAACTCTGAAAAATCAAGTGTAATGGGTATAATTTATAGATCAAGGGAAAGAACTCACTACTTGGATAAGTATCATGAAAGTAAGTAAAGAATTCTCCTCCACAGAAAATAATCATCAGTTTTAGGAAGCCACATTTTCCTGTCTCAATTTTATCTTTGTAGAGGGAAATATGGAAATTATATTGTGCAGTAAATTGAGTGTGTACAAAAGTAGTGAAAGGACATAAGCGTTATTGAGCAGGACTGGATAAAGCAAGGAGCCTCTAGAAAGGAGAGAGAGGCTCATTCAGAGATAATAATGATGAGGTAAGCCAATGCTGGAAGGTCTAGATGGGTGTCCAAAAGGCCAAGCCTGGGAGTATGAGTATGGAACCTGATGTTATGGGGAGCTAGCTCAGGGGATAGCTTCTGTCCCTGTCAGAAATTTCCTGTGTACTAAGGTTCCTGGTACCCTTCCTCCATCCTCTTCTACCTTAGCCTCCACTACTGGGCACTGCAGTAGAAAAGGAGCCTCTCTCCAAAGAGGAATAAAGTAGCTGAATAGGACATCATGGGATCATGGCACGTATCTCCATCAGGGTATTAGCTCTAAAAGAAATTCTCCATGAAGTAGCTGTCAACCTCAAATAGTACTGTTGTGTTACTCAACAGTACTATCCTTCTTCAATGATCTAATTCTAGGGATCTAGCTATGAAGCCATGCCCCAAACTTTGTTATTTTAACTTTCAAATTTAGGAGATGAAGATGAGCCAATATCATCCTCCCAAAGAATTCTCCCACCTGAGTTCCCCAGTAGTTATGGGAATGGGAGGAGCATCACAGACCATCAGTACTTCAAGGGACTAACTGACCACCATTGGCTTTCTCTTCTCCCCTGACTGGCTTTTGACACAAAAAATATTTAAGTAAAAGAACATGAAACTGGGAAACATGTCCTGTGCCTCCCACATCCCAAGCTCCAGTCTTCCCTTCCATCTACCCCTGAGCCAAATTACCTCTTTTCACAACTTCCTGAACCTAACTACCTCCAAGTGCTTCCTGTCATCCTGACCTTCTCCAAGCTTTGTTCTACTACCCAGATCCCTGCCTAGACAGGAGGACTTCAGGAAGGGTCTGTGGTTCTGCTTCTGCTCTGTTCTTTGGTTCCGCTTCTCAAGTACTCAATGAGGAAGCACCTAGGCAACCTGGCAGCAGACTCAGTGAGGGGAGAAGCCTCTACTCTGATGCAGATGGAACCTTTCTATGAAGAGACCTGAACCTTCCTCCTTACCCTCTGGTGTTTCCAGGATGTGAATGAAACATGGAGCCAACGTTTCCCAGAGTTATATGAGCCAGGCCAGCACAACCTCTATTTCAACAAGAAGGAATTTATGAAGTGCTTAGTGCATGGAATCTACAGTTCCTTCGTGCTGTTCTTTGTCCCCATGGGGACCATTTACGACTCAGAACGCAATGATGGGAGGGACCTCTCCGATTTCCAGTCCTTCTCTCTGATAGTGCAGACCACCTTGATCTGGGTGGTCACGGTACAGGTGTGACCAGTGGTGGTGGGAGTTAGGGGATTGGATGGTGAGCCTGTCTGAAGACAGAGGGAGGTAAGGGGGGAAGGAGGGCGGGAAGGGAGCATTCTCCATTACAGAACTAGAGAAGGGAGGTGGCTGATAAGTCCCAGGTTAGAGTATTGCACATAAACTAGTGCTTTTCAGATTGCCCTGAAGATAACCTACTGGACGATGATAAGCCACTTCTTCATCTGGGGTAGCCTGGGTGTCTACTTTTGCATATTATTCTTCCTGTACAGTGATGGCTTGTGTGTATTGTTCCCCAGCATCTTCCATTTCCTAGGTAAGGCCCTATCCAGCAGGTAAGGGTGGGGGATTAAGCAAGTATATTTATTTAACGAATGTTTACCGAGAAGCCGTACTATGTTGTAGGCCCTGTGGATAGAGATATGAATGGTCTCTGGGCTGAGGTATGGCTCAAGTAGTAGAGCACCTGCCCAGCAAGTGTGAGGCCCTGAGTTCAAACCCCAGCACTTCAATAAATAAATAAATAAAACAAAATAAAAAAGAAATGGTCTCTGCCCTAAAGGAGCTCAAAATCTAGTTAGGAAAATATTTTATCTTAACAGTTTCCAGGATTTTTTCACATACCTAGTTTGATCTTCACAAGCATCCTGTGAGGGGTAGACAGGGCAAGAATTATTAGCACCATTTTGAAGACCAGAGATTTTTTTAAATGACTCAATATAGAGCTCCTGATTCCAGCTTTGGTTTTCATGCTGTGACATGCTGCCTTACTGTCTCCTAATTCCCCTTTCTCTCACCTCCACTCAGATGAGGACAAAATACAGAGAGAGTAGCTATGTACTTGGCTCCTAGCTAGCTATTGTCAGGCCACTAACTCATTTTTCTTCCCCATAGTCTTCTGTTCCATTTTTGCATCCAGGCAAATGCACAAGGATTCCCTCATAATCTACTCCCAGTCCCCCGTCCTGCCCTGTCTTTAGAGGAAGACAAAGGCATGTGAATTCACCGTGACTTTGGCTGTGCAAAGGACATAAATGCAGTTCTTTTCACAGGAGACCAGACTGTCTCCAAATCAATAATTTCCTTCTTTAGAGAGGTATCCAGGTTCTGCTGATACCTCCCAGTCCTGACCCTACCCATTACTCTAGGCTCTGTTTCAGCCTTTCTTCTCCTGTCTCATTGTTTACAGGTGTAGCCAGGAATGTTATGAACCAGCCACAAATGTGGCTTTGTCTTATCCTCAGTGTGGTCCTCTGTATGGTTCCTGTAATAGGGTACCAATTTCTCAAACCACTATTCTGGCCTCTCAGTGTGGACAAGGTGAGTGGAACAATCTACCTAGATGTAATAATTCATGATCCTCTGTGCATTTGCCTCTGTAGATGAAAACCCTGTCTCCCATGCTCTGGATACAGGTTTTTGGCAGAATTCGACATTGCATGAAACATCCACTGTCACCCCCAGTCCGGGTCAGAATGAAACACCCGAGTAGTCGACGCTCTGCTTATGCATTCTCCCACAAACAGGGCTTTGGGGCCCTCATCGTATCTGGCAAGACAGAGAAGTTCAAGATAGCCAAGAAAAGCAAGTAGTCTATGTAAAAAAAAGTAGAGACCCTTAGGGAAAGCCCAAGTCAGTCATTGCTTTCCCTCCCATGGAGTTTAGTAAGGTGGATTAAAGTCCCTGGAAGCCAGCATAAAACATGTTCCTCCACTCTCACTATGGGGACCAGCTCTTCATTCCCCAAAACTTGTGCCAGGTAAGGCAAGAAAGGAGGTAAGAAGAGCCCCAGATATCTGTTACTCTGTACTTAGCAACATTTCAAGAAAAAGCAACCTCAGCTTCCCTTCTACCATCCTTTCTAAGCTTTAATCCAGACAAGCAAAATGTGGAAGTAGGGAGTAAAGACAGACAGCGTGGGAGGGAAAAAGAAGACAAGACCTAAATAATCTTACTCAGGGCTCCAGCTCTCCATTCCGGAGTGAACCATATACGCTTCCCCAGAGCCCCCTTGGCCGTATTTTCCCCGAAGAGAACTTTTTCAGGTTTATATGGGAGGTTTGGAGTGAATATTTGCTGGCCCTGGGTAGCAAAAGGAGGTAGCTGTGAAGAGTTAGTTAAGAAACCGAAGGAGAGTTTC